AAACATCTTGATTTGATGAAAAAGAAAAGTGCCACTCTAATCCCAACGCATCTCTCCCTCCCTAGCGCACCCAGTACCATCTACATCTACATCTACATTCACTCCTCCTCGTCATCTCCCCCAACCTTGACATCAGGTAGAGCCGCCACCTCTTCAATCTGACTCTTGAATCCCGCGTCCAACTTGCCCACAAGGTCAGCCCGACTACTGGCCAAGTGTCCCATCAATTGTCTAAACTGCTCAAACACCGGAACATCGTCCAGGGGAGACTCGTAGATCAAGTCTTCGTCGTCATCGTCATCCTGGTCCTCTTCCTCGTCGTCCTCGTCGGCACCAGCCCCGCTCAGACCACTGGTGTCGGCGGCGGATGAACCACCGGCAGCACGTGCTGCCTGGGCACGTAGACGAGCGCCTTCCCTGGCGAGGAGCTCGAGGTACTCGTTGTCCTCGTCGCGAATATCGTCCTCGTCGTCGTCCTCATTGACCACCTCGCCCGTAATGTCATCCTCATCGTCGTCGTCCAGCTCGTCCTCAAACGCCTCCTCGGCCTCCTGCTGCTTTCGGATAGCCTCGGGAATGCTCTTCAGGTCCGCCAGGAGCGACTGCAGGATCTGTACCTCCCCAGCACGGATAGCCTGAGGCATCTGCTCTGGCGAGAGGGACAGGACGCTCATGAGTGCAATTGCAGTCACCTTCTTCTCGTGAACGCGAGTGAACTTGGGCACCACGGTTCCCAGAGCCAGAGTGAAGAAGCGCTGCGTAGCGCCCGATCCGCCTAGAGACTCGAGGGTCTGCAGAGTAAGCGAGGCATTGTACACCAGTGCATCCAGGAGCACAAGCACCGACCACTTGCGCAGGGCAGGCGTGGTGTGGGCAGCACCCTCGGCAATGTGTGGCAGGACAGAGGCGACAATGGTGGGCACAGCCTCGTCGACGCTGCCCTTGAGCAGCAGCAGGATGACGTCTGCAAGCCTACAAGCCGAGATCTGATCGCCCAGACTAAGCTGGTCGGAGCTCATAGCCTTCTCGTAGATGCCCAGCAGCAGCCTCCTGTACTCCGCGTTTTCTCTGAAGACGTCTGTGCCGTACGAGACTAGATTGTCAAAGGTGCTGAGCATCTCCGTGAGGTAGTCGATGCCGGCCCCGTTGAGGAAGGACTGACACATCATCTCGAAGATCTTCCACATGCCAGGCGAGATCTTCTTCTGGTAGAAGGTGAGGACATCCAGCAGGTCAAAGGTATCGTCGTACAGCTCGATGGCGTCCTTCTCCAGTGTGAAGGCGACAAGGGGCAGGACAGACTGCTCGAGTTGGGCGAGCATCTCCGGCTTGCCTTCGCAAGACGTCAGGACACTGTAGATGGTTTGCAGAGCGCTAATGGCCGCAAAGATCTTGTCACCCTCGGCGTCGTTGAGGTCATACTCGTGCGTGCCATCAGCAGCCGTCTCACCACTAGCCAGACTGGCCTCTACCAACCTCATGTACGAAGTCTTCATCTGCTCCACCAGCTGCACACTGAAAGGCATCAGCTCCTCGGAGAACTTGTCGACGATCTTGCTCTTGGCCTCGGTCAGGAGGTCCATCTCCAACTCGTCAGAAAGCTTCAGCAGCTCCTGCATCAGGCGAGCAGCATTGGGAGCCATGGCCGCCTGGACCGAGTCGTGGTCGATCAAGGCAGAGATGGCGGCAGCGGCCTCTACACGGATCGGCAACTCTTCCGTGTCCGTAGCACATGACATGACTCCGCTGAAGCAAGACTCGAGTGCAGCTGAGGATCTCCAGGCCATTTGCGAACCGAAAGCTGCGACGAGCCCGCATGCTCTGAAGCGCAGGAATCGATGCGGCGACGTCAGCTCAGGAATGACGTATTGAGCAAAGAACTCCTCAAGCGAGGTGGAGACCTTTTCGTGATTGAGCATAGTCAAGTCCATGGCCTTGCACATGGCCAGTGCCCCACCCTTTTCTGCTGGTGATCGGCTGGCGGGGTAGGCTTGCACGACGGAAGTGACGAACTGCAGCTGAGGCATGAAGGAGGCCTTTGTCCGCTTGGCCACGATGGTGGCGAGGAAAGAGGCAGCGCTGGCGTCTGGGTTACCAAAAGAGTCGATGGCGTCGATGTGAGATCGCACAAAGTCTGAAGGGTCGAGATCCCAAGCCTCCTCATCCTCCGGACGTGTGCAAAGACGAGGGAAGACGAAGCTCTGCACCAGTGTGTTCACATGCGGCTTCAGTAGTGCCCAAGTGGCCTTTGGCTTGACGCATTCCTCGTAGTAGCGGAAGAGGAAGTGGACCTGCTTCTTCGACAGCCAGGTCTCGCCCTTGATGGAAGCCTCGGTTAGACGCAGGTAGGTGGACAAGATCTCGGGAGCAAAGGTGTTGACGAAGCGCTCGGCAAAGGGCTTGTAGCTAGCGAGGTTGGAAGGCAGTTGGGAGGGGTTACCGTAGCGCGAGAAGAGCTTGTTCAAGGTGAAGCAAGCCCACTTCTTGGCCTTGTACCACGGACTGATCTGCCGTTCATCTTCATCCTGAGGCAGCTTGCTGGGATCAATAGGTCTCGAGGCCACCTGCAAGAGGAACTTGCCCCAAGAGACGATGCTCTCATTGGACTGCTGATGCTGGGAGAGCTGCGAGTTGATGGAGCACTTGTACACCTTGAGGATCATGTACACGATGGCTCCGACATCGGGCGAGTCTACCTCGGGGGAAGAGAGGAGCTGGGTACCGGTAGCAAGGATGGTCGGGAAGGTAGCAGCGACTACTGGCTCCATGAGAGCAGAGTCATCGATCCACCTGAGGGGTGAGGGCAAAGTTCGGACCGTCAGCAGCAGCTCCAGATTACCAATAGCTGTACAATTGCCTTTGAAACTCACCTGTACGACCTAACAATTTCCAGCAGAGCCCTAATACCACCATACACCTCTTGGGGCGTATTGCTGTTCACCAGTCTGCCAACATTCTCCATCAGATCTGGCCACTCATTTGGGAAATCAGCCCTAATGACTGTTCCAAGTCCAGCAGCGACGTGGGTCTGCAGCTGAGGTGGACAGGCGACGAGGGTGGGTAGAAGGCGTGCCTTGATCGTAGGACGGTCCTGGGCAGGGATTGCAGGTGGGCCGGAGGAAGCGGTAGATGACGAGGCCTGTCCAGCGCTTTCTTCGACGACCCAGCACCGACGCAGGCGGTTCTTGACATAGCTGTGATGCAAACAGAGAGGGGGGGAATAGTGGAGAGAGACACGCTTGTCAGCTCGACCACGCCTGTACCTTGCATCGCAGCAGCGCCTGCCATCTCTCTCTACCACTGCTCCACTGCTACTCACACTGCGCATGCCAGCCTATTTCCCATATCGGCCTCTGCACTTGCCACAATATCAAGCAGAGCAGCAAGTACTCCCGCCTGTCCCTCAACCTTGCGAAGGTCCAGCTCGGCTTGCATTCGCGCATTGGGATTCGCGTCTAGAGTCGAGGAAAAGATGCTGTACAGGGAGCGTTGTAGATCCATGCTGGGCGATGTTGGGCACCTCTAACAGGTCAAAGGGGAGTTGGGGAGACGAGGTGTGATGGGGAAAAGGAAGAAGAGAAGGGAGGAAATGTGCAAGTGAGCTTCCTCTCTAGTCTAGTTGTGCTTCTGCGTGTGTGTGTGTGTGTGTGTGTGTGTGCGTGCACTCAACCGACACTTTGACCTCAAAATCAAATCCTGGAAGATTCACTCTGCAGGGCACAGGCGGGGCGGGGCGGGGGCACTGCGCGACGACCCGCTCCGACGCGAAGGGGGGGGGGGCGAGCCAGCATAGGCAAGGAGCGTACCGTAGAGAGGAGAGGAGGCAATCATCACCCGAAGAAATCAATATGCGAGGGAATGAATGAACGAATTGCAAGGGACAGTGACGCTCAGACTGGTAGTGGTACATCACACATCACATCTGCGTCACAACATCGCTCACCACAGCCCAGCCCAGCACTGCAGCAGTGCCGACAGCAGCAGTGCCGACAGTCAGCAAGCCATTCACACTTTAGAGAGCACATCGCCCTTCCTCTACAGAAATCGATATATAATCCCACTTTTACATTTCACACTTCAGGTAGCAGTGAGCACTCGACTGAGCTAGCTGGAATAGCATGCTGTGAAAAGAAAAGAGAAGAGAAAGCAGCAAAGGCAAAGGCGAACAAGGGGGGGGGGGAAGATGCAGGAACAAGATCAAGAAAGATTTGACTGGAACCGAAGAGCGGTATGAAATCGATTTCAAGACGAAAAGACGAATAGGATGAGAATGAAAGAAAAAAAGGGGGATGAAAGCGGGCAGGGGGCAGACGGACCGAGAGGAGAGGGAAGAGGGGAGGGTGGAGAGAGGACAAGACCCCCTCTTCGTGGATGGATGTGTATGTAGCCATTGAACGTCGATATTGAGCGAGGAATAGAGGGTGGGGGGGAAAGATAGCTCGAATGTCTATTCGATGCAGTGCAAGAAAAAAATCTAAGCACATATCAACGAGGGGGAGAGGGACGAGTGGACAGCAAGAAGAAGCCAAAACAAGAGTCGTGGTATACTTGAGGAAGTGAGAGATGGAGGAAAGGGATGCCTGTCCGAGGCCCCGTCTTGCCTGAAAGCCAAATTTGCTTGAGTCTTCTTCTATCCTCTTTCTTGCGCCGCCGCATCATATGGGAACGAAAATCTGGTTGACTGGCCAGGCTGCGCCTCGCTCCTCACACCAACGTCATCCCGCCATCCAGCACAGACCGCACATCGACGACCTCGCTCAGGTCCGCCAAGAAGGGACACAAGTCCGTCAGCTCCGTGTCGTGCGGGTCATTGAACCAGCTGCTGATCGGCACCGCATTGTTCGGATGGAAGATGTACGACGCAGGAGAATTGTCGATGATGATGCTCTCCTCGATTGGTCGGCCGATTTGGCTCAGGTCCTTGACGTAATTGCCTCGATGATTGTAGCAACTCTCTCGGAAGAGCCTGTGCCGCACCACTTGGTGGATGTCTAGTATATCCAGCACTGGATCAGCGTACTTGGAGAGAGACGCAGTGAAGACGACGACTTCGTAGATGAGGCCCATCTTGCGCATGAATTCGTCGACACCGGGACGCTTGATGACGTAGACGTTGTGCACTGTGCCTTCAATTTCCACCGGCACAATGAAGTCGGCATTGTTGATCATCTTGAAGCTACTGTGCACCAGCGTCTCGTCCAGATCCAGCACGAGACACTTCCTTCCAGCGTCCCTCTCAGCAAGGGGTTCTAGCAGCGGCCTTGGGTTGCCATTCTCATCCGTCGGGATTCCCATACCGCCCTGAGCGATCAACCGTTGCTCCTCGGTAAGCACATCCTCCTCGTCTTGGTTGATGAAGTCATCTTGACCGGGTGTGGTGACTCCACGGGCCAAGACGCCAGACGGTACCTCGGAGTCTTCTGTACCACTCTCGGACTCATCATCATCCGTGTATTCGTCCGACTCTTCGTCTGAAGTACTCCTTGCATCACCTTGGCTACTGGCAACACCTCTTCTCGAAGGAGTCGGCGTGGGTGTAGCGCTGCCTCCACCGCCGAGAGCGACAAAGGAGCTTCCAGGAGGCACCACAGCTCCGCTCATCACATCACCAGTCTCTTCTCGAGGAAGTTGCGTACCTCCACCAGGTGTGATAGTTCCTGGCGGCGGGGCAATGACACCCGTCTCTGACCGACTCTCCAGAGAGTTGCGAGCAGATGTGGATCCAGGTCGGCCATGATGATGCGTTGCCAGTGTTGTAGCACCAATTGCTCCCCCAATGGCACCAACACCCAGTGCAGCCTTGCCAGGCGGTGAGAGCTTGCTCGCATCTCTTTGCGCCTGCTGCTGCTGTTGTAGTTGCTTCGAAGACGACGCCTTGGACCCATCGGCACGATTGACCCCCGGTCGCTTACCCTTTGCGCCTCCCGCCGTCGCTGCAGATGCAACACCTCCCTCGCGTTGTTTGGCAGCTGATGGTACCTCCTTCAGCTCGATGTTGCCTCCGCTCTTGCTCCCAGATTGGCGCGATGTAGAAGCTACTGAAGAGCTCCCTGCACCATCGTCTGGAGCGACGCTAGAGCATGTCAGCATAGCAACGATCTTCTTGAGTGCAGACGGCTTCTTCTTCTGCTGCTGTTGGCTCGCTGTCGCCGGTGCAGTCCGAGCTGGTGCAGGAGAGGATGAAGTAGTAGCAGCTGGCTTTGCAGTAGCAGAGCTTCCAGTGGCTTTCGTCGTGGTTCCGGAAGAAGGGGCAGGGGCAGGGGCGGCGGGGGCAGGAGCAGCAGATGTGCTGGGGCCTGCAGTTGCGTTTGTAGTGGCGGGTGCTGTAGCCGGAGGTTGACCCTCCTCTTGCGAGGATAGCTGCAGCTTCTGAGCGGCTTCAGTCATGTCCTGTTCTGTCGACCGCCGAGAATCCGACTCCTGCATCGTCGCAGCTGCATCTGTCTCCCCTACACCAGCAGCGCCTGGCGTGGTTGCGGGCACTGTGTTCACACTTTGCGATCCTTCTGGTGCGGAGGCAGCAGGCAGTCCAACGGCTGCGCCGGTGAGAGCAGGAGCCGCTCGAGCGACAGAGCTGTCGTCATTTGAGGCGGCGTTGCCGCTGCCTGTGCCGCTAGCAGACGCAACGGCAGGAACAGCAGCGGCGGCAGCTGTAGTACCCTCTCCTTCAGTCGTGCCCTTGGCAACGTCGCCTGCTCCAGTACCTTCCCCTTCAGTCGTCACCCGGGGTGTCCTCCTCTTCTTTTTCTTTTTGCGAGGTTGCTCAGCGGTCGACTCTCCTGTCGCTGCAGCTGGCGCTTGTGTCGATGTAGAATGAACCGTCTGCTGAGCTGCTGCCTTGGCCGTGCCGCTCTTAGCCACTCTGGTGGGCTTGGCTGGTCCTGCTCCTGCCCGATTGGCAAATGCTGCACTACCTCCAGCTACCTGACCTGGTTGTACTTGAGTGATGACCGAGGCGAGCGGGTCGGCCGCCTTCGAGGAGCTCGAAGGGGCTGCATTACCGGACCCTGACATTGTATTGGAGGATGTCAGAGGGATCGAGGGTGATGAAAGGAAGATATTTCAAGGGTCGAGTGTGTAGGACTGCGTCGAAGCAGGCAAGACTACCGTGAATGATACCAAGCGCTGGCTGAAAGGGAGGCAGAGGTATGCGTGCAATCGATCAACACAAAGTGTGACCGGGGTATAAGATGTTGCTTTGCTTGTGTGTATCTCTTGGGTATTGTGAAGGTGGAACAATACGGCGTGTTGCTACGGTAGACTCAATGCAGGGCTGGATGGCAAGGAGGACACTTGAATGGCACCAAAGGCAGGTAAAGACCGTGTGTTGAGAGATTGCTCCGTCGAGCAGCGGGGGGGAGGGAGAGGAGGGAGGAAAAAGGGGAGGGCAAGGCGAGGTGATGCAGAGGACGCTTGTCGTCTGGGTTGCCTAGCCTACGGCTTGATGCAGGTGGTGAACACAATGGAGATGACCAGGTGCCGAATGATGGGTCGAGATGTGTGCTGCTGTCGATGAAACGAGCAGGTCCTGTAGACTTGAGGGTGCTGTAGTCCGAATGTGCTGTAATGCTACGTCTTGTAGATGCACCGGTGAACACGCAGGCAGGTATCCGGCAGGTGATAACGGGGAAGGGTCCTCGCTGACCAGTGAGAGGGATTATGCAAGGGGTATGAGCAAGGGAAGCCAAGGTGAGCCTTGAAGGTATGCGTGGTTTGATGAAGCGTCGAGGAGGGACGTACGTCGGAGTGGTATGTCGGGGGTATGTGTGATGGTGGTGATGAGGCGAGGTGCGGGGACAAAGTGTCGAAGGTCCAAGGTACGCGCCGGCGGAGAGGGATGAAAGAAGAAGGAAGCCACAAGGGAGAAGCTCCGTTGCTTTTGTCTGACAGACAGACCACGAGGCGGGCGGTTGCTGTTGCTACCACGTCCTTGAGCCAGAGGGGGTGGACAGGAGAGGAGGAAGCAGAGGAAGCGAAGCAGAGAGGGAGAGAGAGAGAGAGGGCGGAGCCGAGGTCAGGGGAAAGAGGCAGGACAAAGCCGAGGAGAGGAGGGGGGAAAAGGTATACGGCAGGGAGAAGCGCCAAGGAGAGAGGCGCGGAGAAGGGAAAGGGGGTCAGAGGGGAGGGAGAGGGGGGAACAGGAAGCAAGGAGATGGGGAAGAGGGTATAGGGAAGGGTCAGTACGCACGCTGCTCGCACAGAAGGAGGAGGAGGGCTGGTGGTAGAGGGGCCAGTCCAATCGGGCCCAGGCGGGCGTGTGGGCGGGCGTGCGAGCGACGAAGGAAGGGTGGGGCGCACACACGCTCCGCCTCGAGGGAGCGGAGATGAGCAGGCGCAGGCAGCGTGGCGCGGCGCCGGGCCAAACAAGCACCCTGGCCGCCCACTCACCCGACTCACCCTTCCTCGCACAGCACCAACAGCACCTCGTCAGTCTGCCCGCTTCACCCACCCACCCACCCCTCTCCGGCGCTGCAAACGTCGTCGCCGGGTTGCTGCTTCCATGAGAAGACAAGAGGGGGCGAAAGGGAGGCAAGAGGGGCAAAATGGAGAGACAGCTCAGGCTTCCGCGAGCAACCAAGCGGGCGAGTGTGCAGGCCCAACCGTGTCCCTCGGATATGAAGGCGCAAAAAGTCGAAGCAGAGGAGGAGTGGTCTAAAATAAATCAAAAATCCCTACGGACCAGCGCCACGCCTTATCGGTCCGGGCCAGTCAGAGCACACACGCTCACCATTCACCTTCTCCGAGATGATCGTCAGAGAGAGTGTTTCTTTGCCCGGTGTATTGAGCCGGAGAGGCGGGGGTGAGGCGGCAGGATATAGACGCTAGCCAAAGACGGAATGTCACCAACAGCGACGACCTAGTGCGAATTCACGACAATCAGGCCTCCCCTGTGAGGACCTTCCTCCAATTTCCCATCGCCAAAGGAGCAGGACATGACAGTACAGGGGTGTTGACTAATTGATCGCCTCTCCTCTTCGGCGAGACATCGGAAAGGAAGAAGGACAGCAATCGAGAATAGCAGAGGATGCGGATGTATTGCTGTGAAGTTAGACAACCACGCGACCTGTAGCGTGGGAGCATCGAGGGAACAGGCTGCTGAAATGCAGAAAGGGAGAAGCAGCGTCCCTTTAACCTGTTGGAATGACAGTATGAGGCGTCGTCCATCACCTCACACCAAGTCGATGGATAGCATGTCGATCAGCAGCAGCATCGTCGGAGCATACCATTCTTTGCCGGATCTTACGAGGGTCACCTCGGATCGGCGGGTATCTAACAGGGATGCACCTCGGCTGTATCGTGCCCTTCCCACGGCCGTGCACTTGTTGCTCTGTGAAGCTCCACTCGGTCTGGGAACCGCCTCTCCGCCGAGCCTACCATTGCCTGTAGCCGCGGCATTCCTCACCGGCACTCGGCAGAGAAGGTGAACCCGACCGGTTGACTGTATCGCGAGTAATAGCGGCCGTTCATGCGGAGGCTCGGGCTGAGGATTGACCTCGACAGGCACGGGCCAAGAACAGGAGTGCCGTCCTGTTCTTGAAGGTCCTGCTCGCTCTGGTAGAGAAAGTGGTCGGTGCGGCTGCGAGTCTTCTGGCCGAGGTGTACTGCCATGCCTCGTCGGCCACGAGGGATGCTGCTGTGGTTCTGATTGTCCGCCTGTCCGCCTGTCCATCTCACTCCGCGTGTCGCTTGGCCCCTGCCGCCTCGCGCTGGCTGCTGGGCTCAGGGCCAGTGCCCGGGTGCCCTCCACGCCTCGTTCAGCCCACGCTCCCGCTCTCGGGACACATTGGTGCAACACCTTTACCTCGACCCTCGCTCTCCCTCGCCCTCGTACCTTTACCCGCAACAGCCTCCATCACTTACACAGCTACTCCAACCTACTTCAGTCCATATCGCATACCACTCGCATCACATCTCATCTCATCATCTGCTGCTGAGCTCCTCGCTCTCTCTCTCTCTCCACCTCAGTGTCCGCTCGAGGTCCGAGCACACTTCGCCAAGCTCAGACCACCGTTCCAGTTGCAGCCCTCACAGAGCCAGGCAGGCTCCCTTGCTACTTGGTAGCCACTCTTCTCGCACCATCTCATAGTGATCCGCGCTTTCCCTTGCGGTCATTGCCGACATGCTTCCAGCGCAGAGGAACAAGGTCGACATCAATGTGAGTAAGATCGGCACCAAGGAGCGATTGAGCCTACATTTGGATGCTGAGCAGCGCTGCTATGCCTGTCCAATCTTGCTCCTTCCCCGCAGTCCCTCACGGAAGAGGAGCAGAAGCTCTTCCGCCTGTACGGCAAGCTACCTCAGAGGAAAGACCTTCTGGGCAACAAGCTCAAGGTGAGTCTAGCCAGTCCAGCTCCTGGGATAATCCTTCAGCTCAGCTGACTGCGACTCCTCTCCTGCTCTCTTTCGCTCGCTCACCCACTTTGTAGGAGCGCAAGTACTTTGACTCTGGAGACTACGCCCTGTCCAAGGCGGGTAAAGCGCCCCAGCAGTCCGTAGGCACTGCCATCCCCAATCCCGAGACGATTCCTCACGCGAGCACCGTCTCCTCTCCTCCTACGTCCAATGCCATGCCTGCCGGCTCTCCCACGGGCACCGCCAGTACCCTTCACAATGGCAATGGCCAATCCCCCTTTGGATCCGGAGTGGCAGCTCAGGGTGGAGTAGGCGTAGGTGCTGGCCAGCCTGGTCAGGGTGCAAGCGGCGCTTCGAGCATCCCCATTAGTGTGCCCGGATCGATGGCAAGCAGGCAGGGACCCACGGCGGGATCTTTCCCTACTGCGACCGGTATGGCGGGAAGTCCCTCTGGTAAAGAGGGAAGTAGTCTGGGGAGGGAAGAGGTAAAGGCAGAGGATGCAATGGAAGAGTAGGTGGTGGAGGGTAGCGTGGTGCACATAGCAGGACGGGCTCAGAAGGTACGCAGAGCAAGGTCTCGGGAGCGGTAATTACTCTTTTGGCAAGCACATGTTTCGAAGCATTCTTTCCCACTACTATCATCAAGGCGGATCAGGACAGGCGGGCGTCTAGGCATTGGCGCTTCAGCTGGACTCCCCCAGAGGCTCCTGCTCCTCTTCTTTGGATCTAAACAATTACGTGGTCTCTGGTCTTCCCCTCGACAGAGCGATTGTTCCTACTGTCGAGCTTCACTCAGGCACACACGCAAGTATTCCCTGCTCCCACTCCTAGCGATGTCCTGAGACGGCCATGCAAGTTCAAAGGACCAGCGGGACATGCAAACGATGCCTGTCGAGGAGCTATGGAGGAGGTGGGGTCATGATCGGGTCTCAATGTCAGCGTCGATGTCGGAATATCTGTAGTGTCAGGGGCATCACTTTCTCTCCCTCTCTCTCTCTCGCTCGCTCGCTCGCTCTCCTTTCATTGGTTTCGATCGTTGTCGCTCTCAGAATCTAAATCAGATATCAAAGAAGTGTAGAGAGAAGCCGTGTGCATGATCCTGGCCCGGGGCGTCTCTTTGTATGGTTGCGCAGAACCCATTGCTTGTGGATGAGTCAGTAAGGACGACGACGACGACGTTGGAGTGAGCCTGGTAGAGTAGCCCTAGCCGTATCCACTCCCTGGCTGTGTGAGGCAGCGGGCGGCGGCGGCAGGGTGCGCCTTTGCCCTTGAGTGGCTGGCTGGGTCCCCCGCGGCCGCCGCACGGACTCCCTTGCGAGGGGGGCGCTGCCCTTCTTCCCGGGCCAGCAACGGACGACAGACAGCACTGCCCGCAACGCTGCACCACTCATACTTCATACCATTCGTTCCTCTCTAGGCCCCACACACACCCTCTTACTCACAGCGAACATAGCATAGCATATATACCCACCGACCAAGTAGAGGATACCAGATCACTTGCCAACACGGTCATTCAGTCTTGAGCTGCTCTCACCCCATACCTGTCTCTCACAGACCATGACCACCCCTTCCCTCGCACCCCTCTCTCTACCCCTGACTATCACCACCAAATTCTGGCCCTCCTCCCCCACCTACCCTTCTTACCGCTCCTCTCTCTCCCACCTCTTCTCCCTTCTCCAAGATGGGATAGACGAAAGCGCTTCCATCTCCTCTTTCGTAAGGGAATTCGTAGCTGCCCAACGAGAATTTGTGCAGAACCTAGAGAGGGCTGGAGCTGCTAGTGGTAATGGCAACGGGAGTGGGAGTGGGGCGAGGGAAAAGACGAAGGAGATCTTCAAGGGCTCACGGAGAGCTTCCAACAGCTCCAACGCAGGCTCCTTAGGCTCCTCCTCTACCTCCTCTTCGTCGAGCAGAAGCGTCACCCTACAAGCTCTGCAAACCTCGACTCTTGCGCCACTCATCGCATCTCATGCACAGGCTGTGCAGGCATTGGAGAGCAAGATACTCGAGCCATTCACAGAGTGGAGCGCGGAACACACCGAGAGGATTAGGAGAAATTGGGCACTAGTGGAGGGGTGGCTTGATGCTTTTGAAGAGGGACAGGACGAAGTGAGTTGCTTTGCATAGCGGGAGGTCGGATACGAGATCAAACGACTCACATCGGTTTCTTCGTCCCCCGTTCTTGATACAGCTGGATCGCCTGAGGAGCAATTATGAGAGCAAATGCAGACAGGCCGATGAGGCAGAAGACGACGCTAGGTTCTCTGGAGTAGACGTCAACGAGTGGTTCTCAGGGGCCAGTCAAGTCACCGAAGAGCCAGCAGCCACCAGGGCTGCTCCGAGCGATGTCAAAGATGCCGAGTCTGCCGCCGTGCCTCACGAGCGCAAAGACTCTGCAGAGACGGATACAACTCACGTCGAGGGAGCCGAAGCAGATGAAGATGGACTGGACCCTGTCAAGCTAGAGAGACGCCGAACCCTACGCAAGCAATTCGGCTTTACTTCGCGAGCCACTTCGGGTAGTGAGCCCAAAACCGCTGCTGCATCGGAAGAAAAGGGACTCGAGCAATCCCCCTCAGCAAAGAAGTCGGCTGCGCCTAAAACCATCTCGTCTGCCCTCAACTCGGCACTGTCTGCTCCTGCTCTGCAGGGCATCAGGGATCGTCTGGCTGCTGCTGCTGGAACTGCGGGCGGTATCGCCGAGAAGTGGAAGCGTCTCCGTACCGAAGCAGATAGGCTGGAAGGGGAATACCTCGCCAAGGCTCGCAGACTGGACACTCTCCGCTGCCGCATGGAAGATGCCATCTCCGACGTCTTTGCCGTCGTGCAGCGACTGGAAATGGATAGACTCGTGGCTGTGAAGAGTGTCGTCAAGGACTACATCGATGCTGCACGTATTCTCAACCCTGCCGTGGTAGACAGCTTGGCGCCCTTCTTCAAGTCGTACGAGCCTCGTGCCATCATGAGTAGAATGATCGCGACCGCCTCCACGGGCGCATACAGACCGCAAGTCGAAGTCTTCCACCCTTTCTACCACGATGAAGAGGAGGGAGAAGCGGGGAGTCATCAGTCCCCTGCTGTAGCGCACGGCACTGGGTGGGCAGGCTTTGGCATGTGTCTCGATGTCCGAGCTAGGACCGAGATGCTGCACAAGCAAGAGAGTCTGATGGACGCGGTTACAAGCCCCTCTTCTGCTACTTCTCCTTCTCCCAAGGCCACCGTGACACTGCCTCTAGTGTTTTCGTACCTCCTCTCCTCCCTCGAGCAAGCCTACTCCAACGATGCCCTCTGGCCCGTTCGCTCAGACTCAGAGGATGCCCAATCGTCCCTGAGTGTCGCCAAGCGCAAGAGCTGGCTGTACGACGTCTCTCTCCGCTCTGGCCATGCGTGCCGCGAAGCAATCATCGCTCACATGGTCTCCTCTTCCCATCCGGGGGCCGAACTAGGTGCCGGTCTGCAGACTGTCCTCGACAGGTTCGACCCGCCGACAAAGGTCATGACGCTCAAGCTTTGGCTGGCCGAACTGTCTGGTGCTCCTGACCATGGAGCAGAAGGCGGCGACTTTGGAGTGGGAGGTGGCGTGTCGGGAGGAAGTCTGGTACCAGAAGAGAATTGGTACCTCATTGAGAGCTTGTACAAGGCGGCTGAGAGCGTTGAGATGCGATGGCGCAAGGAGAAGCTGGCTAAGGGCAAGGGAAAAGATTCAGAGCTTGCCCCACCAGGTGGCGAGAAAGAGTCGCGTGAGCCCCCGTTGGAGCTTGATGACGCTATTAAGGATGAGATCAGAAGGGGCGTCTTGGAGGACTTGACGGTGGTGCTGGGCAAGCTGAGCGTTATCCATCTGACGGTGCTGGACAGTCTGATTCTGCATCTAAGGAGGTGAGTCACCCCATGCGAGGCCCCGAGCAGGCCATCTCGATTGTGATGCTAACAGCTCCTCTCTCCGCCAGCCTGATTTCCTCCACGCACACCGCCCTCGAGGCAGACCCGACCTACATCAACAAGCTCGCCCTCTCTCTCGGGCCCTTTGTGCTCCGTCCAGCCAAGAGCACTCCTCTGGCGCTCCTCTCTCCCGTACCCACACTCCTGCTAGTGGACCTCATTACGTCGTATAATGAGCTCCTGCCGCCCGCACTGAGACGCAAGAAGGAGCGCGAGGCCAACAGAGTCCAAGTTCAGGGACAGGGAAACGAGACGCTTGAGAGGAGTCTACCTAAGCCCATCAGAAAGAGGACCAAGCCTATTGATAGGAGGGTGAGACGATCCCAATTGTCTGGAATGGGAATGAGCACTTCGGGATTTGACGTCCCGCCGGCAATGCCTATCAGGAGCGCATCTGGCTCTGAGAAGGCCGTCCCTCCTATTCCATCAACACGTACTCCACCAAAACTCACGACAGACACGACTTTCCTCCGACCGCAGCGCGGGAGTGGCCACGGTACTGGCACTGGGACCGAAGAAGACGAAGAAGATACGCCCACGCCGATTGCACAGAGACTCTTTGGATCACTCAAGGGGGGAGCGGCTGCAGCCATTGCTGCTGCTTCTTCTGCTGCTGGCGGTAATGGCGATGGCAGTGCTAGTGCTGCTCCCTCGAGCAATTTGACCGTCAGCACCCTCGTAGAGCCCAGCGGGGGAAGCAGCAATGGTGGTAGCGACTATGGGACCCCAACGGAGGAAGTGACCGATAAGCGGCTCGAGGCACAGATCCCTGGAAGTTTACCTGCTGCTGCTGTTGGTGGTAGTGGTACTTCCTCGACTTCGGACGGCGCATCGCACCCAAGCGAAGCAGTAGCAGGGACTGCGCACGAGCTTCAAGCTGCCGCACCATCGACGTCCGCGCCTGCAGCGGCTCCGCCGCTCGCGGGAGTCGCGAGTATACCGACGGATCCTGCTCCTGCTCCTGCTCCAGAAGTCACCTCTCCCTCTCCCTCTCGTTCTCCTTCTGCCGCGCCCGCACGCACGAGCACGCCTCCAAGCAACAGCGCAAGCACCGAGAAGCCCCTCTCGAACGTTGCCCGTCTCTCACGGCAATTCGGCAGTCCCTCTCTCCCTTCTCACCCTTCTCCAGGTGCTGGCACCGCTAGTGGGATAGGATCTGGGGCAGGAGGCATGGTCCCTTCGAGGAGTGGAGCGGTTAGGGGGCCGAGGAGCGCGGCGGGACCTAGGCCGATGGGTGGAGCTGGAGGTGGAGGAGGGGCATGAAGGAGAAGAGGGGAAGACGAGAGGGAGGACAAGGCTGGACGTCTTGTTCCCCTCTTTGCTCCCAGGAGTGGGGAGATGTCCCGTGGAGAGTTGTGAAGTGAAGTTCAGAATATTCGATTCGATGCGAATTAAATCAAGTCAAGTTTATCCTCTCTTCTCAATGACTCAAAAAGTGTGCGTTGCTATGCACTGCTCATTCGCTAGTGGTGAGGTCCATTCGGGCCGACTGGTAACCTTTGTCATTCCTCTTTCTCTTTCGTCCTCACATCGACACTTGTCACGTTGAATCGAAGGAAGACACGCTCAAGATACTGCAGGCATCCTCCCCTTCTCCTTCCCCTTCTCCTTCCCCTTCTCCTTTGCCTTCCCCTTCCCTCTCCTGCCGCTCTCCCTTTTGATCTTCGTACTCTGCTTCCCGCTGCTGGTCCGGCACTTGATGATGCGAAAAAGTTGAAGGGAGCGAGCCGTTGGTCGCAATTGTGGAGAAAGAATACTCTTGAGAATTCCACATCGCCTCTCTAGAGGTCCAGGTCGAGGTTGAAGTCGAGATCGAGATCGAGATCGAGGTCGGATCGTCTTCAGTTGAATTCAAGTGTAGATCCGAGTGTGGGTTCAGGTCTGAGGGTAAGCCTGAGCCTGAGCCCAAGTGGTCTTCTGCACTCGCATCCGCACCTGCATCTGAGATGCTCAGTAGAGAAGGGGTTGGGGATGCAGGACTGGGCGCAGAGGAGATGCTCAAGAGGGAGTCTGTGGACAAGACAATGAGACCTCTAGCTGCCCTCGGGAGAGGACCTAGCCCAGGTGAGTCTTGTGCGCTTGCTCTCCCGCTATCGCTGTCACTCTCATCGATGTCAATCAGCTCGCCCTCGCTAGCACTGTGCATGACAAAGCTTCCCACCGTCGGAACTCTGAGGTTTGGTCCGCTCTGCTCCCTCTCAGCAGAGCCATCGTCTCTCGTACCTCCTGTGCTATCCGGCATGGGGTCGATTGGCACGCTGGCGCTGCGAAGACGGCCCATAGGTGCGGCTAGTGGTTGCAGTGTAGGCTACGAGCAAACGAGTCGCGCGGCCGGAATTTGTGAGTCTGAGAAGCTCCTCTGGGCTGCACGATCTAGCTCATTACTCACAAGGATTGCCTCGGCAGGATAGGCCGCTCTGTCCACTTTGCGCAGCAGCTCCAAAATTGAAGCGGGCGAGACCAGTGACCTACGCATTGAGTGGTGCATGAAGGTGTCTTTCGCAGATGGTGCCTCGACGGGTACATTTGTCCCTGCAGACGTACCGTTTGAGAGGTTGAGAATGGTCGACAGAGATGTGCTGAGGTAGCCGAAGCTCACTTGGAGCTCTGCTCGTCGCTACAGGCGCAATTAGTGTGAGCGTCTGCAGTCTGACTACTTCCCATCATCGCAGACCATTCGGCCTTGCACACACCTGACCCGCCTCACCTTGATGCAAGCAGCATTGAATCTTTCGCTATACCCGATGATCAGATGCTTCTTGACGAATTTGCTCATGGCATCGGACAGTAGAGCACGCAGGACTTGAGGCAGGTGAGTTGAGGAGCAGATGCAGTCGTACAGCCCTACGATGGACAGAGTATATGCAGTCACAGGCCCAGTGAGGAACAATGGAGGCATCAATGTTGGAGATGTCAGTATGCGACAAAGTAGATGCATGCTAGCATCAGGCGCGTACGATGTCCTGCTCCTGTGTCAGCGGCATTGGTAAGGCCTCTCCATTGTAGATGGAGACCGATGTGTGTCCTAGCTGATGTCAAAGTCTCGTTCGCAGCAGTCGTGGACGCTCCCGACTGGGGTTGCTTCAGAGTTACTAGTGGTAGGAACGGGCGCGCATCTCAGTTCCCGGCGCAGCGACCGCGTCCGCTCCGCTTTTCGGACACACTAATGATACGCTGTGACGACGTCGTCAGCTCAATCGTATCCAGTCTCAAAGCTGCTCTATTCTGCTTGATGGGAGATTCGTGAGTCAGCAAGGGAGTGATTGCAATGGTCGATCTCATCTCGGAACTGTCCGACCTTGTTGAAGAAGTCTTGCACCAAGCGCATCACCTCTGACGCAGCTAGCACTTCCGCCGGCACTGTCCTGATCACGCTGCTTCGTCTTCCCCTTTCTGTCCCAACAATGGAAGAGGTGAGGGCGATGCGTAGAGAGTCACTCGATGCGACATGGTGATGTGTTGTGATGCAAGTGAGACGATGGGAGCGGCTGGCAGTATGGCAAGTCTGTGTGCTGGTAGTGGCACGGGGTGGGTGGGTAGTGGAGTGTGAGGGTTCATCTTCGGACTGATTGCTCTTCTGGCTGCTCATGACAGACGGCGAGGGGGCAGCGATGCACTCAGATGATAGAGAGAGGAAGGCAGACGACGCTGTGGGAGGAGTGTCAGGCACAGGCGGTCCATGATTTGTTCCATGGTTTGTGGCCTTGCGCGCTGCGAGCATCCTTTGATCGTCCGTACGTTGTTGGCGGTGCCATGCGCACGGCTCATCGGGCGAGGCGTACGGGCACTTTCCAGGCGCACGGCAAGGGGCACCCAGCATCAGATCTGGGTGTCTGTGTCTGTAGTGGACATTCACTACCGTGGGCCTGACTTCCCCCCACCCACCCACGATGATCGAAGCAACATCCCCCGGTGACTGCGGCTGAAGCAATGCTGTGCTGAGCCTCGCTTGGGGTCGACTGCAGTGCAGAACCTGTCCCTTGCTCTGGTAGCGAGGCTGGCCCCGACTCCCCTCCTGTGCATCTCGCCTGGGTGCGTGTGCTTGTGTGCTTGTGTGTGTTTCCGCGCCGCGCCGCCCCGCGTGTGAGTGTGTGGGTGAGCCGCGCAGCCTTGCTGGAACGAAGGCCCCCGCTGACGCTCATCGCGGGCGGGCGGGCAAGACACGGCAAGAGGACGACGACGGACGACGGAGGCCGTTGGCCCGATTGCATCCCTCCTTGTACGCCCTTCTTCCCATCAACCCTTTGAGTCGCTCCTCTGCGCCTTGAGCTTCCATTTGTTGCAGACCTCGAGAGGACGTGGGCAAGTCGGCGGTGTCATCGTTGCCTCTTCAGCCTTCCTCTTCCCTTCCCACGTTCCGCTGCTGGGAAGGATCCCCCCCCTGCGCCTCTTTCCTTACGCGGATAGACCCGCACCGCGACCAAGCACCACCCTCTTCCCTTCCCATCACCACGTCCGCGTGGAACCTCACCCCTCACCCACCACCAGGAGTGGACGTTGGTATCTCTCCACCACTCACACTTAGCACGACGCGAGCAAAGAGCAGCTATTGGCCCAAGCACCAGCTTCATCAGCAATCATGGCAGTGAGTACAGCTTCGGGAAACGCGGATCGAGGGCAGCCTCTCTATGGCTCTCCTGGCACCCTTTTTCCCCTGGCAGCATGTCAGCACATGGACAGACCCTCATCTGAGCATCGCAAACCTCTCCTTTTCTCCCCTTCCCACTCCTGCAGGACACTAACGCAACAATGGCAGATATCCGGTCGCGGATTCAGAAGCAGCAGCAGATGATGAAAGGGTACCAAGCCTTGCGTTCTGCTTCGGGCAACCCAGACGTACAGAGACAAGCAGACTCCAATATCCGAGATGCTCAGCGCAACATCTCTTACCTAGAGGAGAGTCTGCAAGCATTGATCAATCGCAGAGCAAGCTCAATGGCACCCAAGAGCGGCGGCTCAGTATCCAGCGGCATCAGCTCCTCTGCCGGGGCTTACAGTAACGCCTCTTCAGGTGGATCTACGCCCTTTGGTTCATCCCAAGCCACGTTCCAGTCTTCCGGAAGCTCCAATTCGATCCATCAGCAACCACAGCATCAAGGTCCCGGGGGAGGAAGACCATTCCCTGGCGATGCTGCTTCCGCATACCTGCCGCACCAACGGAATCCCAATGACCCCAGTGCTGGCGCCGGCGCAACGGGGTATGCCTCGGCTGATGGCTATGGTGGAGGGATGCAAGGACGGGGCGGAGAGTGGCAACCAGCGCCCATCAATAGGATGGGTACTTCTGCTAAGCGCAACTACACTAATCTTGGTGGGTAAGAGCAGACGTGTGCAGGGACGCGTCCAGAGTCTGGAAATTGACCTCATCGTCCTCCACTCCTCTCTCTCTCTATCACTTTCAGACTTGATCAAGGCCGATACCCCGCTCACAACGGCCAAGATCTCAAGGATGCTACACCACATCGAATTCAAGCTGCAGATCGAGAAGCAGTATAAGCAGGGCATTGACAAGATGGCAGCACTCTATCAGGCTGAAGGTGATAGAAAGAGCAGGAGTGATGCCGAGAGCAAGAGGGTAGAGAGCCAGAGCAAGATTATGCTCTTGCAACAGGCTTTGAAGAGATACAAGCAGCTCCACGTAATGGACGACGAGGCCGACAATGATGGACGTGAGTCAAAACCTGAAAAGCGTCAATGCGACGATATGAGGCTCACCCACTGACGCTTCCTCACCTTCCTTGCCAATTTCCAGAGAGCTCTTCTATCGAAGGGAGACGACAAGATCTAAGAAAGCCCCTGTCAGGAACGCTACAGATTTCCGTCAAGGCTGCTCGGGATCTTGAACACGCCCCTACGCAAAGGCTGGGAAGGAGTGTGAGAGAATCGACGGTTGTCTTCAAAGTCGAGGACGCAGCTCGCGCTCGTACCCATCCTAGCAGGACTGATCGATGGCAAGATGACTTTGAGTTTGCGGTCGACAATGCCAACGAGATCGAAGTCACAGTCTACGACAAGGTCGGCAGTGGACACCCAGTGCCCGTGGGTATGCTCTGGATCCGTCTCTCGGACGTCGTGGAAGAGCTGAGAAAGAAGAAATTCGGGCAGCCTGGAGCATCAGATGGCGGATCCGCGGCGGCCTCTGGGTGGGTCACTGCTGGTGATGTGCAACAGCAGGCGGGTGGCATGATGGGAGGAGCATCAGGAGGCTACCCTTCCTCGAGTGCATCCGACTACTCCTTCAATCAGCCAGCCGGAGCTCCCGTGCCACTTGGACCACCTGCAGAAGGTATCGAAGCCTGGTTTGCAGTCGAGCCAGCGGGAGCCGTCTTCCTGCACATCAACTTCCAGAAGCAAAATATTCAAAGGCGTGCCTATGAAGCTCGACTGGGTCGACAGGGAGCCTTTAGGAAGAAGAAAGACGACGTGGCTGAGATCAATGGCCACAAGTTCGTCTCTCGTCAATTCTACCAAATCATTCGTTGCGCACTCTGCGGAGAATTGCTCCTCAATGCCGCTGGGTCACAATGCGAGGACTGTCGGTACACCTGCCACAAGAAATGTGCTCAGAAGGTCGTCACGAAGTGTATCAGCAAGAGCAACGCAGAGGCGGATCGCGACGAGGTCAAGATCAATCACCGCATTCCTCATCGATTCGAGCCCATCACCAATATTGGAGCCAATTGGTGCTGTCACTGTGGTTACATTCTCCCCTTCGGTCGGAAGAATGCTAAGAAGTGCTCGGAGTGTGACATCACCTGTCACTCTGATTGCGCACACTTGGTGCCAGACTTCTGCGGAATGAGCATGGAAATGGCAAATCAGCTGCTGAGCGACATTGAAACGATCAACCGTGTCAAGCATACGGCTAAGCAGCAGCAGCAGCAACAGTCACAGCAGCAGAGGCAGCAAGGGCAGCTGCAAATGCCTCCCAAGGTTGGCGCTCAACCGCCGCCGCAACAGCTGGGTGGAGGACAGGACACTGCCTATGGGTACGGAGCCGGCCGACAACAACAGCAGCCCGGAGCTAATGGAGGTGCAGCGCCAGTGGGAGGTCCCCGACCATATGACGCTCCGATCGAGCAGCTCGAACAGCGAACGTCCCAGATGGACCTTGCATCTCGGCCAATGGATGGCCCGTATGGTGGTGCTGCTGCTTCACCTGCACGACCTCGTCCCCCTCCTGGGGATCCCGCATATTCAACTGGTGCCGCTCCTGGACCTCCCCAGTACGGCTTGCCGCCGCAAGACGGCGGGCCTCCCATGGGTCCCCAAATTGGGCAGGTCTTCAATCAGCAGCAGTACCAACAGAGCGAGATGGCCAAGCCTCCTCGCCCACTACCCCTACCAGGTACTGCTGGCCGACCGATGGCGCCTCCTCCTGTCACTCAAGCTCCTCCGCCAGCTCAACAGCAGATGCAACAGCAGCCTTTGCCGTCCGCTCAGCAGGCTCGTCGACCACAGCCGCCTGGCCCAGGGGCCATGGTACCGTCTACCTCTGCTTCTTCTCAGATCGTAGGCGCTGCCCCCGCGCAACCTCCTCGCAATCCGCCCTCCTCGAAACGCAAGATCGGCCTCAATGACTTCAACTTCTTGGCAGTGCTGGGTAAAGGTAATTTCGGTAAGGTCATGCTCGCAGAAGAAAAGCGCTCAGGCAACCTCTATGCTATCAAGGTGCTAAAGAAGGAATTTATCATCGAGAACGACGAAGTCGAGTCGACCAAGTCTGAAAAGAGGGTCTTCTTAGCGGCTGCTAGGGAAAGGCATCCCTTCTTGCTCGGACTTCACAGTTGTTTCCAGACGGAGACGAGGGTGTACTTTGTGATGGAGTACGTCAGTGGTGGTGATTTGATGTTGCACATCCAGAAAGAGCAATTCTCCCCCAAGAGGGCCAAGTTCTACGCCGCCGAGGTGCTGCTGGCTCTAGAGTATTTCCACAAGCAAGGCATCATCTACCGTGATCTGAAATTGGACAACATCATGTTGACCCTGGATGGTCATGTCAAGGTGGGGGACTATGGTCTCTGCAAGGAAGAGATGTGGTACGGCAATACGACGAGCACCTTCTGTGGTACTCCCGAATTCATGGCGCCCGAGATTCTCCTGGAGCAACGCTACGGACGGGCGGTAGACTGGTGGGCCTTTGGAATCCTGATCTACGAGATGCTGCTAGGTCAAGCGCCCTTCCGAGGAGACGACGAAGACGAAATCTTCGATGCTATCCTGGAGGACGAGCCCCTGTACCCCATCCACATGCCTGCGGACTCGGTGTCGATTCTGCATCGCCTCCTCACGCGAGACCCCGCCAAGCGTCTCGGATCAGGCGAGCGAGACGCCGAGGAGATCAAGGCGCATCCCTTCTTCCGGGATACCAATTGGGACGACATGTTCCACAAGAGGATCCCTGCGCCCTTTAAGCCTACGCTCAAGAATCCCAGCGATACGAGTTGGTTCGATGCAGAGTTTACTAGCGAAAAGCCTACGCTCACGCCAGTGCATAGCGTGCTGAGCGCGCAGGACCAGGAAGAGTTTGCCAGCTTCAGCTGGACGAGCACCACGATTCTATGAATGATGAGGGGAGAGGTGGAGTGAAGGAAGGGATGTGTGCCGAGAAGAGTGGAGTGGGGGATGTCTTTTGCCCGTGGTGTTGCCCACCCCCACTTTGCCAGCTCTTACTACTTGTGAACGAACAGTCAGTCACGACGATGATAATGATGCCATGCCCCCTCTTGCGCTGTACTGCAACTCTTGTGATGCTTGAGTGAAGGAGAGACTGACTTTGCATATGGCCGTGTATTGGGTGCACCACTTCTTCCCATTTTCTTTTCCCCTTCCCCCCTCTTTCGTCTGCGGAGTGACATGAGGGGTATGACAAACCCCTCCCCTCTCCAACCAGGCTGAACCAGAACTTGCTGCCCTCCTCTCCCTCCTTCCCCCTCCTTCCCGCACTCTCACCCTTTGCCATGCCATGCCATGCCATGCCATGCTGCCTTATCTCTTTGCATGGCCTGGTGTGGGCCTATCAAATCGATTCGATTCGATTCGATGCTATGCTATGCTATGCGATGCGAGGCGATGCGAGGCGTTAGAAGAAGAAGCACCTTGACGTCGGTGAGACTTCGAGCAGAGGGAGAAAAAAAAAAAAGAACACAATGTGCAATGCAAGTTGTGTGCCGTGCGGTGCGGTGCCGTGCTGCGAGCTCGCCGTTCTCTCCGTCCGTCTGTAGGTCCTCGTGTCCGCTGCGCGTGGCTGCAGCCTCGCCTTGCCCTTGTAGCAGCGACGGGGACAAGCAAAGGAAGGATGAATCTGCGTTTTTCTGGGCTTTGGAGATTTTGGGCCTGGGTGGGGTGCAGGAAGAAGTCAAGCATGGCGTGGCGTGGCGTGGCGTGGGCTCACAGACATCGGGCAAGGCGAAGGGGGCAAGACGCGGCGCTGCGATGACGAGAGGCGGATCCCAGCCAGCCTTGGGAAATGTGGCAATGGAGAGCAAGTGGCAGGAAGCAGGCGCCCAGATCCCACAGCTCCGCGGGCGGGGCCAGGCGGGGCGGGCGATGGCGGCAAGAGCGTCTACCAGGGCCCTTATCTCTATCCCTTGTGACTCTCCTCTCTTCCACCCTCACATTCCCACACTGCGCTCCACTGCCTCACCGCCCCCCCCTTCTATCTATCATCCATCGGCATTTCCCTCAACCTCTGTGCCTGAGTCGTCATCAGCCCTCTGCCCCCCCTTCGCTTGGCCCACACCCGAGGTGCGCCTGCCCTTGAATCCATCGATCTCACCTCACAGCACAGGCACAGCAGACCACACAAAGGCCCACTCACCCGGAAACCTTCCCAAGAGGTGGTAGCAGCAGCAGCAGCGCCGGGTTTCCAAAGTTGAAAGGGGCAGCCCCAGCCAAGCCAAGGGAAGATCAGGGCACTCGGCAGTCGGCAACTCAAGCGGCTCCGCAATCATCACCAATCCCCCCCCCCCCCTCTCTCTCTCTCAAAAGAAGGCCCGAGGCATCACAGCCAAGCCCTCCCGCAGAGGACCTCATCTAGCTTGGACAGCCCACCTTGGCCCACCCACGGTACGCACGGAGATTATCCGCCGAGGGCTTAGCGCTCTATTTCTCCTTTCCACACAGACATCGCTCGGCCGGTCTCGCCTCCCCTGCGCTTTGTTCCCTCCCTCCCTCCCTCCCTCCCTCCTCTTGCCCTCTCTCGCCCCGCCCCGTCCAGCTTCCGTGATTCTACATCGGCCCCGCTGTCCACTCGGCGGTCAGATGAAAGTAGACAAGAGGAGCGATGCAAGAAGAAGTTGCCGAAGAGGATCAGACTGAGCCTACTTTGCCGACGAAGCCTTCTCCATCTGCATCTACGGAACTTTCCGCCTCAGCGACTCCTCTTCATCTTCCTGTTCCTCTTCGTCCTTCTCTTCCTCCTCAATCTTCCTCGAGTGCAACGATACAAGGTCCTTCCTCCTCGCCTCCCTCTACGCCGACGCAGCAGCAGCAGCAGCAGCTACCCCAGACGCAGGAACAGGAACAACAACGACCTCATCAGCCACAGGAACAACAGCAGTGGGACGCTTCCCCCTCTACCTCTCGTCGCAGACTACAGCACCGGCCCTTTTCCCAAGCTCGCTCGCACGGTTCTGGCCTACTTCTATATCAGCAACGTGACGCTGGGGGATTCCCATTTCCCTCGGCCCATTCGCCTTCTTCTCTGACTTCCCCGCCACAGCGATCACGACCTTCCTCGCCTACCTTTACCACCACCCAGGCCACAGCAGGAGGCTCTCACCAGCCTTCTCTGCCCAACAACGCCTTTTCGCCGTCTTCCTCATCGGTACATGCTAGAGACAGGCTCTCCTCTCTCCTCAATCCTCCTCCTCCTCCTCCTCCTCCTTCCCACGATCACAGCTCAAGTCCACGACGACTGCATCGCTCCTCTACTGCCACACCTGCTGCGCCTCTACCTCTGACTGCATCGCTAGTCACAAACGGAAAGGACAGACTAGTAGACACCCTCGCTGATACCTTCGAGGGAGCAGCCAAGGCAGTCTCGGCTGCAGTTGGTGTCGTCTCCCCAACCCAGCCCGTGAGCGGCACCAAGGACGAGGACAAAGAGGCTGAAGCGGACTACTACAACGAGGTAGATTCAGCCAAGATGCCTCCTCCTTCCTCCTCTTCTCGGACCTCTTCTGGACCCACACCGAAGGATCCTGCTAGAAGAGACGATGGGAGGGCTAGCTCCAGGTCTCGGCAACAACAAACACAACAACAGCAAGCTGCCGCCTCTACTTCCAGCAGAGGGGCAGCAGGCGCTGGACCCTCGACCGAGGCGGCTCGGGCAGCCTCGAATGATCGAGAGAGAGATCGGGAGAGGCAGAGGGAGGCTGCTAGGCTGGCAGAGAAGGAGAATTGGGACAAGACAAGAGGAGCTGGGAGTAGTGTCATGAACTTGCTCGATACGCCGGGCAACTTGAATGGCCAGCGGAAGTGGACTGTGGAGGATGTACTGCCTCTGCTCGAAGAGGTTGAGGGGAAGACATATGAGGTGAGTAGGCGCTTGCGAGGCGGAGTGGTAGGGCGATCGAAGTGAGAGAAGAGCTTACTAATTGCTTCGCCCCGTCCTGCATTGCCATCGCTCTCAGCCCGTGGAAGCTCCGTCACCTGATGTCCTTCTTTCCAGAGGAATAGCAGACTATACCATCCTGCCCAAAGTCTTGGGCAGAGGCAAATTCTCTACGGTCTTCATGGCTTCTAAGAACGGCGAGCTCTCAGCAGTCAAGCATACCGCGCTCTTTCCCCACCACCAACTAATCTCTACCCGTCTACTGCGAGAACCGACTCTACTGGCCGAGCTGCCTCCTCATCCCAACTTGGTGGAAGTCAAGGAGACGATCAGGACGCCAGGTCACTTCTACCTCGTGGAGGAATTTCTCGGCGGATACGTCACATTGGAAGCGCTTCTGGGAAAGTACGGGAGGCAAAGAGGAGAAGCCATAGTCCTGCCTTTGCAGATTGCGGATACAATCCTCTCCCAACTTCTCTCAGCGGTTCGAGCGATTCATTTCCCACTCCAGATTTGTCATCGAGACATCAAGCCCGAGAATATTCTCGTTCACGAAGAGACGCTTCAATTGAAGCTGCTCGACTTTGGCCTGGCGACTCACTACTCCAAGAGCGAGCCCAAGCTCACTACTTGCTGTGGAAGCCCGGCCTTTCATTGTCCCGAGATTGTCAAGGCCCTCGCGAGTCCGCCTGGCACCGTATGCTATTGGGGACCCGAGGTGGACGCTTGGACTTGTGGTGTAACGATGCTTCGCTGCATGACCGGGGCCAAGTACCCCTTGGGCAGCAGTCATTCCAGTCTTCGCAGTATGGCCATTAGAGCACAACGGGCAGTAGCCCAGATACCCCTCTCTGATGAGCCAGGTGGCGACGAGACACTCGGTCGTTCCATTCGAGACAAGATTGCAAAGCTCATGGAGATGGACTCGGTGAAACGTATCAAGAATTTTGAAGAGTTGGCACAGGAGCTCAATACTGTAGCGGAAAGTCAACGCGGGGCAAAGGACTTCAAGAGCACGTCCTTTGTCCCAACGGAGCCCAGTCACAAGATGGATCTGCCCCTCTTGTCTGCTGAGGCTACTAAGCGCTTGGCAGCACCGCCCTCCAATGGCTCAGCTCAGGGCCCTGGCAGCTTCCCCTTTGGCAACAGCGCGGAGACCACCCCAGGAACCAGTCAGAGGGGCACGCCTGCCAACTCTCGTCCTTCCAGTCCAGGGCCGACTCCTAGCTCTAGCGAATCGAAGCTCAATCTACCACCGCCTCCACCGCGGTTGATCCTGATGAACCCTTCAATGCAGCCGGCGCAGAGGGTTCTGTCGTACATCAAGTACTGCCTTCGATGTGCTGGAATCCTCTACCATTCGTGGCCAGACTCTCAGACGACGGCCCTCGACAATTGGTCTGCAGCCCTAGGCATGTCCCGGCCTGCTTCAAACGATGGCGCCTGGTCTCCAACCACTCCCCTCTTCCCTTCCATGGCTGATCGTTCGGATGGCTGGAGTCATGTACAGGTCTTCCAGTGTGTCATCGAGTTCAAGGAGGAGGAGCCAGAGGAGAAGAATGAGGAAGGACAAGGGGTCGGCATGGGTCTCGTACAGAGCATCATGGCGGCTTTCGGACGACGGCCTACCAGTGCTGGGAAGCGGTCCTACAGCCAGCCAGCAGTATCTCCATCGAGGGGGACGCGGACACCAACGCGAGCGGCCACCCCGTCGGGCACTGCAACGCCTGCGTCTAAGTCGTCTTCCAAGAATGGTCCACCGCGCTACCTCACTTTTTACATGGTTGTGCGCTTCCCCAAGGGTGGGCGAGCCTACTCGCGACCGGCGTACTCTCGGCAAAGTACATGGGGCGGGAAGAGGACCAGGACTGTCTCCTCTTCTGCCCCGCTGGTCAATGAGTTGCCAACTGCTGAAGAAGGAGAGACGACTCTCACATTCACGCCTACCAAGACGGCAAGTTCGTCGAACGGGACCAATTCTCCTGGCTTGACGCAGGCAGAGCTTGCTCAGATGCAGATGTCCAGGCGTTCTCCAGATCATCATCGCACAAGCGGCGACGAGAGGCACGGCAGCAGCAATGTCCTCTACAACTACCGGTCAGGCAACAGCAGCAACGTCTCTCTTCCAGCCTCGCCTGCCATTGGTGGACCAGTTGGCCTGACGGTAGAAACAAAGGTCGATCTACCACGTGTTGGCAGCTCCACGAGTCTTTCTGCTCGCTCTGCGACCCCCAATAGGGCTCGCAAGAATTCCAAACCGCAGAAGCCGTATCGTAACAAGGTGTACCTGGATCTGTCGGACGAGAGGGCGCTGGAAGTAGTGCGAAAGGCATTGGCTGTAGGAGGTACAGTCGACGATTCGCCAAAGGACGATGTCTCTCAGTCATTGGTCGTTAGAGGAAGGGCGGGCGTGGATGCTGCGCCTCTGTTTGAGAAGAGCGAGCCTGGTACCCCCAACACTCGCGATCAAAAGACGGCTTCCTCGAGTCGAAGTAGGGATGGCAGAGCTTTGAGCTATCAAGGTCCGCGTGGAGGCAGGTCTTCAGGTCCCGTCGGAGCCAGTACGATGAGGGCAGTGACCAACTCGGACGAACTCGATTCGCCGCGGTCTCGAAGCACCGAGAAGAGGGTCTCCCCCACTGGAGGGTCCACAGGCAGTGGTACTCCTCGGGCTGGAAGATCTGCCGGGCCGCCTGTCAACCGGAGCAGGACACCGTCTGCTGTCGAATCGCTGCTAGAGAAGCTCCCTGATCCGCCAAAGGTTGCGCAGAAGGACGCTGAAGAGCAGCAGACTAGGGGTCGAGGTCTCGTCAGGACAGGAGGGGCTCCATTGGGCATGCCTACACCTTCTGGCGCATCGGAGTATGTAGCATCAGCCAAACAGGCACCATCGCTGCTCTCGTCGGAAGCAGTAAAGGAAGAAGCTGTGGCGGAGGATAATTTGCCCCAGCTCATTGAGGATCTGCAGGCAGCTCTAGGCAGTCTCTGTGGACCTGCGGCCGCCATCGAGGGGCTCTCGTCGACAATGTCCCCCCGCGTTCGCACGACTGATCTGAATGGCTCGCGTCAGCAAGTTCGGACCCTCTTGCAAGACGTCCATCATCGTTTCACAGACGAATCGGCTTCCTCTGCTTCTCCCACACGGCTGGAGGAGACAATCTCCAGGAATCTCTTCCCCCTCGTGGCTGCCCTGTCTCCTGCTACGGGCCTAGTGGCCACAGAGTCGCTTGGTCTTCCCGAGGTGGGCGTTGCTGTAGAGCGGCAGTCTACCCTCAGAGGTCTGGCGAAGAGCTGTCTTGGAGTAGTTGCCCGCGTTGGCAGTCCGAGGGAGATCTTGATGGCAGTTCAGGAGAGATTGGAAGCTCTACTTCGAGAGGGTCAACGTGACAGCATGGAAGGTACTTCATCGTCACGTCTGGACAAGGAGTTGGAAGATATCCCTGGCGAAGCGCTTCCGACACTCAATGGCTCGATTGGAACTGCATCTGCTACGGCTCCCGAGTGGCTCGGCGCACTCGAGGTTGCGGGTTTGATCACTGTTCTTACCGAAAGCTTGCCGAGGCTCAAGACGAACAAGGTGGACATGTTCCTCTCCCCACTGGCTCGCCTGCTTCCAGAAGCCGCACGAGTCCTGGTCAAGAGAGTTCCTGGGGCCGTCTCGCAAGATGCTCTGCAGGCCAACAAGACTTCACGCCCACAAGTCGCCGTGCAGGTCGTGCAAGCCCTGATGGACTTCATTCATGTAGCTCTGCAGTGGGTTCGTGCCCGAGAAGGTGCTGGAGAGGATGACACTCCTGAGGAATTGGTGGCCATCCTGCTCGTATCCTTCGCCTCGCTGGCCTCTTCTCTACCGCCCATTTCAGAGAGTGCGGATTCGCACAAATCTCTCTCGGAGCAATACTTCTTGCAAAAGAATCCACGGTATCGTCTCGACGGTCCGTCTTCCACGTCGCAAGCTCCAACAGCGCATTCTTCTCCTGCTCCAACGCCGAGAGAAGCTACTCAGAGCCCAGTGTCTCACACGATCAATCACAGCCATGACATCTGGATCACGCTGCGCAAGACGTGCGATGCATTGCACGTAGACTTGCTGGAGGTGGCCTTTGCAAAGAGGCTACCACGTACGGCTAGTGGAAGAGAGGCCAATAGCGCAAGAGGCAGCGATGGTGAAGGCCAGGAAAATATTCGGCGACAGGAAGACCAGGCGTCTACCATGGACGTGACCTCGCAGCTGGGCGCTTTCCTGCTCTACGTCAAGCTCCAGGCACGCGCACGACTCAACATCGGTACTTCTACCGAGACTACGCAGACTGCAGAAGAGCGTTCTCCCCTCTGGTCACAGAAAGAGGCACTGGGCCTGCTGACCGACTCTCTCGGTCTCCTTGCAGCTGGTCTGGGAGCTAATCCTCCGACGACTTCCAGCTCGAGCGTAAGTCAAGCCAGTGGAGGCACCGAAGGTCAATTGCCCGACTGCGCCCTCTTGTACACGATGTGGTGTCTGGAATGCGTCTCGCCTGGCGCAGCAGTAGAGGAGAAGGTGCTGCTTCCACTTGTACAGCTCCTCTCTACACATGCGGCGCTCAGCCCTCTGCCATCTAGCAGACACATTGCCTTTACTCTACTGCGCACGCTTCTCCTCGAGCACACGCCCGATCGGCAGACGCAACTGGACCTCTTCCGAGACTTGATCGCCGAGAGCCCCTTCCCACAGCTCAAGTCGGCGAGTGTAGCGATCTTGAGAGAGCTGGTGCAGTCCAGTCGGGAGCGGGAGACTTCAGAGGGTCTGCTGGGAGAGTTGCAGGACCTCGTCTTTGTGGTACCTGCGCCTGTCCCGATGCCTGAGGGGAAAGGGGCAGAAGGCGCTGAGGGTTCTTCGTCGGAGACTGTGCCAGCCTCGGAAGACCTCTCCAAGGCCAAGACGTACCTCGAGGAGCAAGGCCCCTGGCTGATTGAAGGGCTCAATCTCCTCTACCTCGTCCTCTCCCGAAGCCAGAGCCAGAGTCAGGCCCACAAGGTCGAGGAAGCCTCTTCAGTCGAGGCGACTTCATCCTCGACGCTGCGTCTGCCAAGCGTCCAGACAGACTTTCTCGAGCCGATTCGGACGTTCCTCCATGCCTGGCACACGTCCGAAGAAGTAGCAGAAACAGCGACAGGATCCGCATCAGGACCGGCCGCTGTTCTGGGGGGGCAATCCACCGCCAGTCCTGCCCAGACTGGTCTGGAGGTTCGGTCCGAATCAGGTCCTGGGTCGGCTTCCGGCTCTGAACTCGTGGCTTCGCCCGCACCACCACCATCAGGAGCAGCAGGAGCAGCAGCAGTAGCAGCTTCGACGGGTCTGCCACGCGTATCCACTTCTTCCTCGTCGTCCATGGGCCACTCTGCTTCGCACTCCTACTCACACTCGCAGTCTCACTCGCATTCGCATTCGCATGCAGGATCACAGAGTGGACGCTCCATTCGTGCGACACTGGATATGCATATGGAGCTGCTGCAGGTCGCACTGAGTAGAGTGGAGGAGGTTTGGCCTGCGCCTGCGCCTATGGTTGTGACATCTGCGAATGAGGCAGTGGAGTCGTAGCTCTCATGGTGGGCCCAGCCATTGCATCCCTTTACTCCTCGCCCTTCCCTTCTCCCTACCTCTTCCGGCATTCGATTTCTCCAGTCTTGACTCGCTTCACTCTAGTGTCTTCTCACTCAATTCACTTCACTTCACTTCACTTCACTTCATCGCACATTCGCACTTCACATCATATCATGTCATGTCGTATCAGGTTCCCCTTACTCTGTCTGTCTCTCATACGCGCTCCTAACGAATGCAACTAGATTCAAATACGCCCGCCCGCACGCACGCACGCACGCATCGCTCGCTCGCTCGCTCGCTCGCTCGCTTTGAGTGCCCACATGAATCGCACTTCTTCGAGCTTCATAATTCTTTGGTCTAGCAGATGCGAGATGCGATTTGCAAAGTAAGTAAGGATTGCTAAGTGGCATGGCAGCAAGTCATTGTGTCCACCGACAGAGATGAGGAGGAGAAGGAGGGGGGATGGGAAGAGGTGCAATGTGTGCAGTGTGTGCAGTGCTACATGGTGGCGCGACAAGGTGAAGGTGGGGAGGCGCGGGCCCTGGAGAGACACTAGCAGTAGCAGCAGTGGACAGTGGACAGGGAATAGGAGAGGAGCATGGCGGCGGATTAGATTGGGAGCATTGAGGCGGGTAGCCGCCCGAGTGGCCTGCCCACAGACGACCTCGACCTTGAGGGACCTTTGCTCTCCACTCTCTCCCCTCCACCCTCTCATCCGGCGGCCGTACTCCCCGACCTTGCGATTCATACCGTACCGAGGGTCCGTAGCTGTGTAGCTTTCTGGCCTCGTCTCTATCCGCATCGTCTAGTCTTGACCGCATCGTGAGGGTGGGGGCGGGCGCTGCCGCCCCGCGTCTCCCTCTGCTGAAGGAGACCTGCGTCGTCCCGAGCGCCGAGGGTTTGCCTATGCACCATGTGTGCGGGTGAGCACCTGCTCCGATCTGTGTACCACCTCCTTACTTTAGATCCTCTTCCGTGCTTGTCCGGGCGGCATGACGGCACTACCGCTCCTCTCTCGTTCCCTGCTCGCCACCGCCCTCATCCTCATCCCCCTTGCCACCGCCACCGGTAAGGTGCTGCATCATCACCTCGTACGTGAGAATCGTGAGCGCGCTCGAAGGCACAGTGCGCACCAGATTGACGCCCATCCCGTTGTAGAAGCCCCGCAGGCCCTCTTCCCGGAAGATTGTCCCCACTGTGCGCAGAAGAGAGGTATACTTCTGCGGTGGAGCGCCGGACGCGGCTGCTGCTGTTGCTGACGCTGCCGCTGTGGACGAGGTGGACTGTGGACGTGTCCGGAGGAAGTGAGGGGTGAAGTACGAGGGCGAAGCTCTTGTGCCAAGAGGGGATAAAGTCGTGGACGTGTGATGCCGCCGTGTGTCTATTGTGTTGGTATTTGTGCTGCTGCTGGATGCTACGGTAGAAAAGCCTCTCCTTGCTTCCGACCCCGCTGCTGCTGGGGTCGGGGTCCGTATTGTTTGTGCCCCCTGTGCTCCATTTGCCGCTGCTGATGCTGCTGCTGCCGCCGCCGCGGCTGTTGTGTTGGGGGCCTTGGACCGGGGATGCATCTGCAACCGTGTCCGGACTACCTCGTGCGGATACGTCAGCACGCTCGCAATCATCTTTGCCGAGCTGGAGCAAGCCAGAATCACCCTAGGTGGCAGGTCCGCTCCTCCAAGCCCGCCTTCGCCATTCGATCCTGAAGCTTCCCGAGCCCAGGACTTGAATGTCTCGTAGAGGGGGAACTGCACTGCTACGTGAGATACCCCCATCAGAGAAGGAAGAAGTCCCCGATAGAAGCCACGTGGACCTTCTTCTTGCATGATACGGATGAAGGCATCAAGAGTATGCTTGTAGGGCGGTGGTTGCATTGGATCCCGAGGCTTGGCAGATTGAAGCTGAGCAGAGACGGAGAGAAGTAGCCGACAGTCAGCGATCCTTGTACTCCACCTCACTATCACGTTCCTTTGTCTCCGCGACTCACCATGAACCTTGTCTTGACCACCCACAGCGGACTCGTACACACTGTACTGGCTCCACCAGCCGTCAGCGCACTAACGATATGGTTAATAAAGTCTTCTTCTCCATCTCCCGCATTCTTGGCCAGAAATTCCTTGCAACCGTCGTAGACTGTAAAGTAGATTGCCCACGTTGGGAGGTAGCCGAAGATGGTTGGGCCTAACCCCCGGTAGAAGCCACGGATGCCGTCGTACTTGTAGATTGTCCGTAGTGTTCCCAATAGTCCTCTGTACACCCTGTCTCCTTCTCCGTCAAAGGCATGAGGCGGAAGAGATGCTCCTCCCACAGATGCACTGCCTGCTCCTCTCACTGCTGCCGCTGGCCCGCTCTTGGAAGGGCCTGCTATCGTTCCACCTGCGCTGCTACTGCCGCCGCTGACTACATTTGGGGCTTTCACTGCCGGCTTGGATGTGCTCTGAGCCTGCAGCTTCGTCTTGACCACGTCCAGGGGGCATGTGACGATGGAGGACACCAGACCTGCACACGCCCCCGCAATGGCCGAGGGCCCCAACGTCGGCATGACTGTCGAGCGCTGGCAGTCGGTGTGGAGGAGATCCGGATCAGTGGTTGATTACAAACGAGTACGACGAGTGCCAGAGTGGGAGTGTCAATGCGAGATGAGAGACGAGGGTGATGAGGCGGCCTTTGGATCCACGTCTCGAAGGTACCGGCCTTGTGGAGACTCGTGGCTATCGCAGAGGAAGGTCCGGCGTTGCTGGCCTCTGAGTAGACGATGAAGGAGTTTCGCCAAGACTGAGGGATGTGCGATATTGCGGCAGGGACGAGGTGGAGCTGCTGTGTCTTGAGAGCCTGGAGGACCAGAGATGGCTGGCGATTGGTACCACGAGGGTGACCGGTATGCTGTTCACCGGAAGTGGGTCTCGTCTCAAGGTCGTGTGCGGATAAGCGCTGGAGGATGAGGGGCTCTTCGATGGAGCTTTGCTTTGCCGATGGTCAGAGCCAATTGATGTCGAGGTTGTTGATGCCAGTGAGGAAGAGGATACGACAAGCGATCTACGTTGTGGAGATCGTAGACGTGGAGATGGCCGATGCAATCTTGGGCAGACGGGAGGGAGCGAGTGGGGGTGGGTGGGTGGTCTGACCGCCTGGGTGCGCTGAGGGGGGCCGTGGGCGACTGTGCGGGGCGCGCTGCCAGGCCTGGTGGCTACTGTGCAAGAAGCTGAGCGCCTTGCTGGGACGAGGGGCGTAGCGAGAATACCAATGAGGAGATGGCAAGGTAGATACAAATGGTAGACTACGATGGCAAGAAGAAGAAGACGACGATGGACATTGGGAGGAGGAGCGGGGGGGGCCAAGTGCAACTCAAGCCGCACGGCGGGGCGGAGCATGAGATCAGATCATCCCGCCATTCCATCACTGGCGCACAGGCGCATCCCCCCACGAAGCAAAGCGCGTCATCTTCAAGCTCCGCTCCCACCAGATATCATTCCCCGTCAGCATCGACGCACCAGTGGTGTGGAAAGGTGATGGTAGTAGCACAGACAAGAGTATTCTGCTCAATCGCTCACACTCACTCCACCTCTCTCCCCCTCCTCGCCTCTTCAAACCACTTCCATGTAGCCAGCCATGCACCCCGAGCACTCTCCACCGTGTCCAGCGCATGATCTGCCCCCTTGAACCACAGACACTCTGCCCTCAATCGAGGCGCTCTCCCCACGCCGCTCCTCTCGGCCTCCCACTGCCGCTCGATGCGAGAGCACAGGGCGTGATAGTATGCCAACCCTTGTGTGGGAGGCACACGCTGGTCGCTATCGCCCAGCAGCATCAGTACAGGCGCCTCAACCTTGTCCACCAGCCGCGCGGGAGAGGCGTCCGAGAGCGCCTTGAAGTTCTCCGGGCTCAGGAAGGGCGGTGGTGCGTCAAAGGAGTAAGGTAGACCAAGCTCAGCCATGTCCCTGCAGGAAGGCAAGAAGAGGGTGGGCATTTTGTCAAGCCAAGGCTTCAGTCACATTGCGTCGAAGGTGTACTCACCAGTCTCGAATGTCGGTGGTAGCCCACATCTCCCCAATATGGGTGACAGGATTGCGCAGAGCAATCGCCTTCCACAAACCCTTGACATCACTTCGCCCAGCCACGTGACAGCCGATAAAGCCTCCATGGGATCCTCCTTGGAAGTACACCTGGTCTTTGTCAGCCACACCCTCCTCAATTGCCCACTTGATCGTCGCAACACAATCGTCGATGTCCAGGGTGCCACACTTGCCTATTAGAGAATCGACAAATGCTGGCGAGCGGCCGGTAGAGCCGTGATAGTTGGGCAGGATGACGGTGTACCCCAGGAGGACAAGGGCAGCCACCCCGGGGCTCCAATCAATCGTAGAGGCGCCGTGGGGACCACCGTGAGGATACAGGATGCAAGGGGGCGCTTCTTCACTGTCACCATGAGCGCTGATCACGATGGCTTCCACCGTATCCTCTGGACGCTCATCTGATTCTTCAGAAGAGGTAAGACCAGTGTGGGGGATGTCCACCACCCTTGAAGTGATTGCCTTCAATTGGGAAGCAACCTCTTTCGCTCCACCACCGGAATGTGCAGCCCAGATCACGGAACAGCATGCATGTTCCACAGAGCCCTCTTTGAATTCCAGGTCCCATAAGCAGAGCTGAGGTGGCTGTCTGAAGTGGGTTGAGGTGGTGAGAATTTGCCGCCTGTCCGCAGACGTAGCCAGCAGAGCCTCTGATGATTCCCTCGTGGAACATTCCCACGTAAGGTCCCTGTCGCGTACGCGGTGAACACGAACAACGTTTTGACACTCATGAATGCTGCTTAGCACGAGAAACCAATCCTGTCCGAATCTGAAGAACGGCTGCCTGGCGAGCTGACCCAGGTATTGCCCTTCGACACCGTCATGAGTTGATTTGTGATCCAATGGAAGGACTTCCTCGAGTTCAATAACGCCATCCTTCCGTTCAGTAGCTTTGAGGACTGCAGAGGAAGAATTGTGAGGTCCTTCAGAGGGCGTTTCGAGCCATATGACAGTCCACTCTTTATCGCCAGAGCAAGGGAATTCAGGGAGGCTTCGAGGAGAGCGAGCGGACCTTCCTGGGGTGCTGAGATCGATCACTTTCGGGGAGTACAATACTACCACCTCTGCCTTCTTGACGACTTGACGATTACGCATGCCGATCTCTTTTGCGGATTCATCGGGAGGAACTCTGAACGTCTGTACAGTTGAGGGTCGGTTCGTGCAATAGACTTGACCAAGTCTGCGGCCGCCGCTGACAGCATCGTATCCAGTCGCGGCAATTCTTTCGGTTCCGATGAAGCACGCCTGACCCAATATGCGGTCTTTTTCGGGACTGACGAGCTGCACTAGACTTGCGGGTCGGTCCCTCCAGATGCGCAATAAGAAAAGCCCAGGCTGGAGATCCTTGGCAAATTTCTCGCCCATGGGGGCCTGGTATCTGAAGCGCTCGAGAGGATCCTCTACGGAAGGGTCAGAGATCGTGCCCGCCTCATAAAGAATAGAGATAGGTACGGTCTCGTCTTTGAAGTCCTCTGGGCGAATTGCGCTGCTGCTTGAAAAAGTTTCTGTTCAGAACAGGAGGTCACGGGGGAGGGGGGCAGGAGGAGCAAGAATGCCGTTGTCAGCATAAGTCTTGTGCGGGCCCGCGGCTGCATCAATGTACTGACCATCAGTGCAAAAGCTGCCATGGGATTCGGTGACTTCGATGCAGTACTCTCGAGTCACATTGATCCACACTTCGACGAACCGTCGCTTTTTGCCCTCGACAGTCTCTTCCCGCAATCTCACACGGCTTAGAGAGTCTGAATGCATTGCAAAGTCGAGTTTCACTGCAGGGTCTACGGGGACGCCGGGAAGCCCCTGATTGGCGACAATCAGGCTTGTTGAGTGGGCTTCTGGTTCGAGAAGTATTTGCAGGGCCCTTTGCGATGTAGTCATAGTGGCATGGTCCTTGTAGTTGAGGGTCAAGAGCACCATCTCGTCGAGGAGTCCTACGAATTCCGCCTTGGCAATCGTCGGCATCTCGGCCAGACATTCATAGAGGGCAGCTGCCTGGTGGAGAGGCACGCCCGACGAGATGTCCTCCATGGAGGCTTCCATTGGTGTACGGTGCGCCCCCCTCGAAGGTTGCGAGGAGGATTCGGATGCGTTGTCCATGATACTCGTCGCGATCATTCGCGTCGCAGTCGAGGTCGAGCAAAGCAAAGCACGGTCTGTGCACTTTCCCCCTTTTTCCGGTCCGATGTCTCGCAGCCGCCAATCGCCGGCTTCCCCGCACTCGCCCCGCACAAAAGCCGAGGCCGGGGCAGCTTCTCCACACCCGCATGACCATACACTCCATCCCTACCATTTCTTCCCTGCGGCTTGTGAGGACGATCTCTCTGTTACCACTACCGACACACCCTACTACTATACCATTTAGTCATGTCGCTACCCTCGAAACAGCTCGCCCTGCGACTCTATGCCCCAACTTCAAAGGGCGCCCGGAGCGAAGCCAAAGTGGAGCGCATCCTGGTCCCCCCTCGTCCTTCTTCCTCCTCCACCGACGAGATCGTTCTCGCAGAGATCCAGGCCGCTGGCTTCAATAGGCGGGAGGAATGGTCCATGATGGGCGCTTATCCGGGGCTGACGTACCCTTCCACAATGGGATGTGATGCCGTCGCGACCATTCACGGAGATAAGACGGGCAGTAGGTACATCATCAACCCCACTGTGGGGTGGGCCTCGTCCGCCGAAGCGCCAGAAGCATCTGTTGCGCCCGCTTCTGCAGAGGCAAATGAGTATGGCGGCAAGGGTTTCGGCATACTGGGAGGCACCAAAGCTACCAATGGAGAGGGTACCTTCCAGGAATACCTCTGGGTGAGAAAGGCAATGCTGGTGCCCTGCCCAGAGCATCTCACTGCCACACAGGCGGCCGCGCTACCTTGTGGAGGAGTGACAGCATACCGGTGAGTGCGGTGGTACATTTTTCATCCTGTACCGCTTGTCTGGTGAGCTAATACCTCCCAACGCTGCCTCCCCTTACAGAGCCCTGTTCACAAAAGGCCAAGTCTCCTCGGGCAAAAATGTCCTCATCACTGGCATCGGCGGAGGCGTAGCTCTCCTTGCCCTGCGCATGGCAGTCGCAGTCGGCGCCAACGTCTACGTCACTGGTGGATCTCAGGAGAAGATCGACTATGCAGTCAAGGCTGGAGCGAAAGGTGGAGCCAATTACAAGGAGAAGGACTGGGAGAAGACGATCAAGGGTCTGCTGCCCAAAGAGAGGAGTTACCTCGATACAGTCATCGACAGTGCTGGCGGTGGGATCGTAGGAAGTAGCATCAAGAGTGGGCTGAAGGACGGTGGGAAGATTGTCATCTTCGGCATGACTGGCGGCCCAAAGGTAGAGGTCACGATGAGGGAGGTGCTGAAGAATGTTGAAGTTCTGGGTGAGTCTGCGCGAGGAACTAGACCGCCAGCGAAGAAAACGACAGATTCTTAACCTTCTCTCCTCTTCCTATTAGGCTCGACCATGGGATCACTGGAAGAGTTCAAGCAATGTGTCGCCCTTGTAGCCAAGCACAAGATCGTACCAGATGTCGACACCACCCTTGACAGCCTGGAGAAGGCGCTGGACGGATTCGTGAGTCTCGGGAGGCGGTGCCTCTAGACGTTTTAGTGTGAGGCATACTACTGATCTGCCAGCTCACTCCCCCCCATTTATACCCGCCATGATAGCCCCTGCTGGCTGATGCCTCCAAGCGCTCGGGTGGCAAGGTGGTGATGAAGATCAGACCGGGAGCTGATCAATTGCCTACGACAGGGAGCTCAAAGCTTTAGGCTCATGACCAGTGCCTGTTAGTAACGACCACCTGAACATGTCTTGCAGCAAGCTCTGCAACTGTATCGCTACGCAGTCTGAAAAAGGCGTATCAAGGAGACAAGCTTGTGCAATGCTGAACATGTATTGTCTGTATGACTATTCGCAACAAATACAAAAAGGCCAGCGACCCAGCTCCTGTTCTTCTTCGCTTTGGGCCCCTCCAATCAGCTTAGTGCTACAATTCGTCTGTGGCATCTTGATCCTTCAGACGGTCGAGAAGACGTATGTGGTGTGCCAGTCGTACGTCTCATTCTCATTGAGGACCTGATGCTCCTTCCTGCCCCACTGCGGGTTGTTGATTCCATCGATCCAGTCCTCGGCCTCGATGACGACGGCAGAGTAATTCTCATAGATCTTCTTGGCCACTCCGTTGTCATCGCCCGCGAGATTCTCGGCTTGGCCGCCGTGCACGCGCTTGCGAGGGATGAGGCCATTCTTTGGATTGGCAAGGCCAGAGCTAGTGTAGACTTGGATCGCGACCTGGTTGGTGTACATTGCCAGCTGAATACCCGAAGCTGGCGAGGACATGGTCAGCACGGGCTTGTTCTCGGGGTGGCCGTCCTTCATCACCCAGCAGGTATCCCAGCCAGTGCAGCCCAGACCGCAGATGCCCTCGGTTCGATTGAAGTTCTGAGAGAAGGGCGTAGGGCTAGTGAAGTCGAGGGCGGTGCCGGAAACGGAAGGCACTTTGCCAGTGGGAATCAGGATTGTGTCTCCAGCAATGTAGTTCTTGGCGTAGGGAAGATGCAGAACATAGTCCAGAATGGGTCTGTCCGAAGCGCTAAGGTTGACAAGTGCCTGAGGGTCGAGGTTCCAGTAGTTGTGGGCACTGAGCATGACGGGAGTCTTGCCGCTAGACTTGGCGTGCATGCGAGCGTCATAAGTAGCATCGTTTTCCAGGGTGTAGGTGACGGTGGTATTGACGTTATGGGGGAAGCCCTGATTGCCAGCGGGGTCGTCCAAGGTAAAGGTGATGCTAGAGGCATTGAGATGCTCGATTGTCCAGCTGCGACGATCGAAGCCGTCTGTGCCGCCGTGCAGAGTGTCAATGTTGTTCTCGTTCAAAGGAGTGTGATAGGTCTTGCCTCCTACTTCGAAGGTGCCATTCTTGATGCGGTTGGCGTACCTGCCCACAACAGGCCCAAAGTAAGGGTGGACTGGCTCAGTACCGTAATTGGTAGTGTTGTCAAAGCCAAGAGTGATGTCCTGCCAGTCTTGATTGCGGTCTTTCACCCACATCTCCGTCAGGCGGGCGCCGAAGGGAATGAACGTGGCTCGGATAGAGTCGTCGGGAGAGCGCAGATGGATCTTGTTGAAAGGGTAGGTGGGCTCGAGGGCATTGTCAATGCAGTCAGAGTAGGAAGCCGAGTTGACCTGGTCAGACGTGGGCTTGCCGTACAGTCCTGCCTTGACAAAGCAAGGGTAGGAGCCGATGGTGCCATTGACAACGAAGCCACGAGTGTCCTTGGGGACCGTCTCATTAAGGAAAGGGTCGTCGACGTTATCCCTAATAGCCAGGTATGAATCAGCATCGGTGCCCAGCACCGTTGTCGCCGTACCGATCAGAGTGGAGGAGAGCCCGAGGAGGGACATCAGAGTGCTTGTGAGGACGACCATGGTGGAGTCGGAGGAGGTTATCGAGGAGGTCAGAGGGAGTGTCGCGTTAGGAAAGAAGGAGGACAGAATAGAAGCGAAACGCATGACCTTTATAGTCGCGGTATGCGGCAGAATGACCAGGGCGCAGGAAGGAGAGGAGAGCAGGGCCAGAAGTGAGGAGGGAGGGGGAAGAAGGGAGCCGTCAGAGGCGGAAGGAAACGCAAGCGAGGGAGATTGCCGTGTAATTGCGGGGCACCGAAATCAGCCTTCACTTCTCCGCACGGGCATAGATTGCCGACCAGATTGCCGATAGCCGAAGTCCGTCCGACGGAATCGAGTCTACAGTGACTCTCCCCTTGATGTCATTCGCTGCCGCTCAAAGTGAAAGTCACCGGTGATGCTGTTCTTAGAACTGGTTAGAGAATGCCGACCGAGAACGTCGCGACGCCCAGTGCATGTCATACGCCTTCTTGTTGAGAGGACAGGTGGAAACAGCCAAGGTGACTGATTGGCGCAAGGCGCAGAGTGCAGTCCCCAAATGTTAGCATGCTCGCCCCGGAGAAGTCAGTGTGGGGCATGGGTCAGGCGTTGAGACAAGTCATGTTCCTCGCTCACGATAGGGGTTCGCCCCTCCCAAAGTCACATTGTACCCTTCACTACTGAACGTCGACGATCTGGCCAGGCCAAGCTGACTTGGCCAAGGAACGGAACGGAAGAAGATGTGGCCTCGGCCGAATGAAGTGGAGCCGCCTGTTGCTCTCTTCCTGCTGCAGCGTCGTGTTGATTGGCGTGTGCGCACTCCTGCTTACGAGTGAGTCCTTCTTCTTCTTCCCCCACAACAACCTCGTCCTCATACACCAACTGCACGAATCATGTCCAACTCTGTATTTGACGCATTCAAGCCCATCAACGTCGTCCTCCCTTATGGGTTTGGCTTCGTAGGTGAGTCAGCAGCACCACGAGCAGCATGAGCCGTCTATCCTCTGACGCTGACGATCGCTGGTCTACTCTTGCTCCCAACTTCCAGGCCTGGCCGCTACCGGTGGTCTGTGGCTCAACTTCTGGCAGATGTTCCTCGTCAGCAAGGCTCGCAAGGCATCCGGCGTCAAGTATCCTCAGATGTACGCTAGCAAGGAGGAGCAGGAGAAGAGCAAAGAGGCCCTCATGTTTAACTGTGTTCAGAGGGCACACCAGGTGAGTCTGGAGAGAGAGATGGTTGAGGGGCCGCAAGGTAATAGAGCTCTCGGCTGAACATAGTCGTACCCTCATCCCGCTTCTCTTGTCCAGAACACCCTCGAGAACATGCCCATGTACCTCACCACCCTCTTCCTCACTGGCCTGCGCTATCCCCGCCTGGCAGTCGGCTTCTCTTCCATTTGGCTCGTAGGCCGCGTCCTGTACACCACCGGTGAGCCCTCCCATGCCGTTCAAGACCGGCACCAGCATAAACTTCTGGTGTTCCAGAGCCATTCAGACTAACATAACCATCCCGCACACGCAATGCTTTACCCCATTCAGGCTACGCTAGCGGTGACCCCTCTGGCCGAGTCACTGGCGCCAAGGTCGGAGCTGTCGGAATTCTCGGCCTGCTCCTCTCTGCCACCTGGAGCACTATCGCCTTCATCACCGAGACTGGCGGAAAGATCTAAGCACGCTCCAACTCTTGGTCGCCAGCAAAGGAAAACGTGGATGACACCTCGGCAGAACTTGATACAAAGTGCTAATGGAATGTATAGACGCGCCACCCCTGTGTGCCGCTGTGCGCGCTCTCTACTTGCCCCTCTTCCTCTCCTTGATCCAGTTCTCAATCTCCTCCTTGAGCTCCGTAGCCGGCTTGCAGTCCTCAATCTTCAGCGGCGCCCTATTGAAAGGGTCACTGCTATCGCTCAGCAGATGACTCTTGATCGTGCTCAGATCGACGATAGCCTTGCTTGAAGGGAGGATGACTGGGTTCCTCATGAGCGTGGCCATGAGTGGGTCCGAGTACTCGTCGGGTACCTCGCCCAGATCCTCTTCTTCCTCCTTGTCCTCCTGAATCACGCGCTCCACCTGTGTCACCAATCTCTGGAGCTCCTCGACTTCAGAAGGCGACTTGAGGCCATGGCGTGCAGCCACACCACAAGCCTTGTCAAAGGTGGCCTTGCGATAGGAGCGACCATCGTCTGCGATCGCCTTGGTGAACTCAGATCGCGAGGACAAGTTGAGGTAGACGGAGAGAATCTGTTGCAAAAGATGTCTGGGCTCGAAGCCGACCTTTTTCGGATCTTTGATCTTCAGCTCGGTACAGCGTGGACCCACCATCAGGTCGAGATTGTAGTCGAGCATAGCGGCGAGACGTGAAACGATTTCGGGCGTCATGAAAGCGTCCTTCGTCTGCGCCGTGAAGTCGATGAGGAGTCGAAGGAATTCGTTGCCGAATGAGAGCATCGATCGAATCTGTCCCTGGATGGAGGTAGTGTGCGACTCAATCTCTTGCCGTTCCTCGGCACTCCGCTCGTTCCAAGTGGCAGAATCGTCCATCTGCTGCTGCTTGGAGTGAAGCTCTGCCAGCTTTTCCAGCGCATCATCGAGCAGGAAGGTGACGTCGTTCATCAGCCGATTGATGAAGACGACAAACTTTTCAGAATTGCCCTTGGACTCCTGATGAATCCTCGACATGTGCTCTGGGTTGGACCAGATTACCTTGAAGATCTGAGAAAGATGGAAGCGGATATTGAACTTGTCGTAGAACTGTGTGTGACTACCAGTCGACTCGGCTTCAACCCAGAAGCTCATCAAGGCTGGGACGAGGTGCTGGAGCGCCAGAGGATGGAAGTTGATGACATCACCTAGTATGCCTGTCTGCGAGTAGCCAAATGGAATCACGTTCCACCACATAATCTCAGCCAGCTTGGCCTTCAAGAAGGGATTCTTGATGAACCAACCGGAGGACAGGAAAGTGACTGTGAAAGTGACAAAGTCTTTCTTGACGGCCTCGGGAAGCGAATCAGGCTTGTGACGGGCTAGAAAGAGCAGGATGTCGCAGACGTCCTCGAAAATGTGTTCTGGCAGCATCCTGAAGTTTTCCGGGACCTCCTGTGCCAGAGGAAGTTGAACCAACTCTTTGGGATGTAGCCCTCTTGTGTCAGCAAGCCGTACTAGCCAAGTCATAGTGAAGCTGGTGGCGTGGATCAGCCGATCGACGAATCCCGGCGAGAGCAGCTGCGCAACCGAAGCAAGGCATTCAGCTTTGAGCTTCTCCACCTCTGCGTTGCCACGTTTGATGTAAGCTTCGTATTGTGCAGCCTGAGGAGTGGACCCCCAGATGGCCCTGCTCTCCTCCGTCTCCTTGATCCGCTTACTCAACCGCCGCGAGTCCTCTTCCTTTTCATTGTACGACCGAATTGCCTTGCCAGGACCCAAATTGGTCATACGGGCAAGAAGGAAGAACACCTCTGTAATGAAATTGGCAGGAGCCGATGCCTCCGGAGCAGAATCCACCCATTTCTGAGCTTCGGGTTCAGATGCATTCAGGCGCGTCAGAGTCGATGCATCGTAACGCTTCTGCCTTCTGAGATACTCAGGATCGATGCGGTCAATCTTGGTGTAACCGGCGTCCATGAAAGGCTCCGCGAAGCGTTGCAGGGTCTCCCAGATGTTCACTGTGAAGCCATCTGTAGAGACTTGGTCTTGCTTGACTCTCATTGCCCCTCTCTTGCGGTTGAGATCAGCGACGTGTGCCCAGTACTGCAAGACTTTTTCTCTCGAGGCCGGTGAAGACCGAACGAGGGAATTGAACAGCCTAAAGTGGAAGCCGTGGATGATGTCTAGAGTCTGACGTAGAGAGTTGGTGTTGCTCTCCATCTCTCCTTTGGAACGAGCAGTCGGATTCGAGAAATATTCCTCTGTGAGTGTCGCCGAGGAGTCGGTGAATGTGCTCAACCGGAGCAAAGGACCAAAGAGAGAGTCGAGCTCGAGCCGTGGAGCCGTGGCGCTCGCCGGATCAAATTGCGAGAGGTTGACTAGACAGACAGCGATTTGCTTGTTGTCTGTCAGCTCTACGACCGGCGCCACGTATCCTCTCCACTCGAAGCCACCAAGGTGCATTCCCTGACTTGCAGAAGAAGCTCTCAATGCTCTGCCGAAGGGATCAAGCCCAGCTGCTGCTGCACCAGCCGCATTACCTGCTGCCTGTGGTCGTCCCTGGGCACCTCCTCCCAGGAGCTGTGCTAAGACGGCCTGTATGTCTCCGGCCTGAGCGGCAGCTTGCAGTGCCGCATTGTTTCCATTAGAAGAGGGTCCGGCAGAGGCACCTGAGGACGACCCAGGGTCCTGCCTGGCGCCATCGCGGATCTTCCGCGTCACCTCGCTGACGGCAGGGCCGAGGATGTCCTCCAACCCATCGCCATCGAAGCGTTTGGCGAGTTCTGTGAGGAAGCTCGGCATCTCATGCTGATCCAACGTAGCCCATGAAGCGTTGGTCGAGGTGACCGCTGACTGTGATGCAGCACCCCCGCCAATGTTGAGAATGCTCGGCACGAGGACGAGAGGCGAAAGAGTCTCGTCTCCTTTCTTATGGCGCGGAAACATGTCCGGCGTTGTGAGAAGGAGGCCTGCGTAAGATACGATGAGGGCAGAAATTTCTTCAAGGGCGGAGACGCCTTGCGGAACATAAGAGCCCAGACCCTGTGATGTTAAGGAAGTGCTTTTTCGTCAGTAGGGCGATACGACTCGAGGCCATGCACTCAGGCATTCCTACTGACCTTTTTGGCCTTTGGGACCTCCTGCCTGCAGCGTCTCCAACAGGCAATGAGCCAATCCCAGCTAGTCTCCTGTTCATCTAAACTGGCTAAAGTCGACAGGATCATTGCATCTTCAGTCATGACATCGCCTTGGGGATCGAGGGAAAGGCGAGCTATCAGGATGCGATCCGCAATGGAGGGGTCCAGGCGAGGTGGGTCTGAAGAGGGAAGGGGAAGACGATAGCTGTCAGGAAATAATGCACCATCATTGACGTCGCACCTGGTGACTCACCCTGCCCTTCTTGCTTGAGCTCGTCAGCGAGCTCGTACAGGCAAGTCAGTCTGAAGTCGGTCTGCTGTGCTTCGTTGCCATCGAGGGTGACAGTGAAGATGCGCTTTGTCACTGCCGCCTTCCAGGCTTCGATGTTGGGAGCCGCAGAGGACGAAGGCGCCGAGTCGGCAGTCTGAGACGCCATCCTGGGCGAAGGGTAGATGTGCAAAGAGACTACCTTGGCGGATACTTAGATGCTGAATCGTCTACGAGGCTCGGTAGCGTGGGGGGGAGAAGGTGTGTGCGTACAAAGGCTTCGTGTGCGTCTGAGCTCATTTGGCTGCCACTCCACTTCCGCCAAGACGGCCGGCCCCGCCTCCCTTTCCGCTTCTCCAGAGGCGGGGCAATGGACAGTACCGCCCCACATCGCAATCTCTTCCAACAAACAGACGAGGTACCGCAGATGGCTGCGTCCCCTTCCCCTCCTCCTGCGGCAGCTCGGCCTTCGCTGCCTGAGTCATTCGCATCTCGCTTCGCCTTTGTTGATGTGCCCGGGGTAACCGCACCTCGCCCTCGCGCCACTCGCAGCCAGACCTTGGACTTTCCTCGCCATCTCAAGGCCACTCGTTCGACGAGGTCACAGACTGCCTCCGATAAGCCTGTCAGGACACAGGCATCTCATCGTGAGCCTCTAGCAGAGACACAGCAGGGTTCTGCTCCTCCTTCCCCATCTTCAACACCACAGCCAAAGCGCAAGAAGCCACGCCGCGCCTACGATGACCCTTCCCCTGCACTCACGTCGTACCCTCCCTCTGCATACCCTCCTGTGATTGATCATCTGAAACCTTCTGACCCTAACAGACGGCTGGATCTACTCGTTTGTGGCCTCAACCCAGGCCTCAGATCATCTCAGTCCGGCACACACTTCGCCCATCCTTCCAATCACTTCTACAAGACGCTCGTCAATTCCGCTCTCACACCCATCAGAGTCTCACCGGCAGATTGTGCCAAGCTCGTCGATCAGGAAAGACCGCTGCCTTCTATCGGATTGACGAACATATGCATTCGGCCGACTGCGGAAGGAGGTGAGCTGGGAAGGAGAGACTACCAGATTGGAACGCCTGTCCTGGCTAGGAAGATTCGCAGCGTGGCCAAGCCAAGAGCGGTGGTGTTCACGGGAAAGGGTATCGGCGTGGAATGGGAGAGGTGCTGCCGGGAGCTCGGTGCTTTGAGAGCCAAGAGAAGGTCCGCACAACGGGAAGAGGTCAAGAGCGAGGAGGAGAAGGCACCGGAGGACCTGCGGGAAGGAGCCATCTACCTGCCATTCCCAACCGGTGTTCCCTGGGCTATAGACGAGCCTCTGGGCTTAGGTCTTTTGCCATTTGTCATCCGTTCCGAGCTGCCAGAGAATCCCTCGGCTGCAAATTTCGAAGTGCAAGGCTCTCGCTCACTGGTACACATCAAGGACGAAGAGGAAAAGGCGCCGTTTTCAGTCACTATGCCCAAAGAAGAAGAGGACGATTCTGTTCCTACCACTTCTGAGCACGCCCGATATTCCTTCTTTTTCCTCACGACTTCACCCTCTGGGAGGGTGACTACCATGGGTATCGCAGAGAAGAGCGAGTGGATGAGGAGATGTAAAGATTGCGTGGACTTCCTTGCCTCTGGAGCAGCGGTATCGGAAGAACACAAACAAGGGGCAAAAGTCGAAGATGCTGCTGATGGATCAGCTGTCCAGTCACTTGTCAGCAGGAGGTTCGAGGTCATTGATTGTACTAAGTTCGAGGAAGGGTAAAAGACCTGCAGAGGAGCGAAGTCTCGGTCCGGGATCGGCACATTTAATCAGTCAGCTCATGCCAAAATGACATCTTTCCATACACCAACGTGCAATTTGAGTAATACTGTCGTTTTGGGACGGCTATTTGTCGTATTGGTCGTCCCGACCGGAAGGACGGTCGGACGGCGCGCTTCCGTTCCGAGTCTCGTAAAATTTGGAACCAAGTCCGACGTTGATGAATTCTTCCCAGGTCAGGCTCAGAAGGAAAGGCAGCATAGCACATCCTCTCCTTCGTTACCACTAGTCATATTGATCAACACCCCCTGCTCGCTATCATGCCTGCCTCTACCAAGTCTTCGCCCAAAGCTGCTACGCCCAACAAGAAGCCAAGGATCTCCAGCGCTGCTTCTGCTTCCGGCTCACCTTCCACCTCCAAGGCAGCCGCCTCCTCCTCTTCTTCCTCCTCCTCCGCTGCACTCATCGATGCTCGCGTCTCCTCCAGCCAAGCTCTCAAGGCCATCAAAGCCCTTCAGTCGCACAGGCAAAAGTACAAGGCAGCTCAGCTCGACAAGGGCAAAGAGGCGGGAAAGAGCGTCCTGCCCCTAGATGGAGAGGACGACGATGCAGCAGGAGCGGGCAGAACAGAGGATATGGGTTACCTGAACGTCACAGTCAAGCGGCTTGCAAAGGAGAAGAAGAGCAAGCCTGTCAGCATCGCTCTTCCTCACCCCCTGAACCCTCTCAGAGCGACGGAAGTGTGCTTGTTCGTCAAGGACCCCCAAAGGACATACAAGGACCTTCTCCCCACCCTCGGCGTCTCGTGTATCCACCGCATCGTCGGCGTAAGCAAGCTCAAGGGGAAGTTTGCCCCCTTTGAGGCAAGACGAAGCTTGATGGACGAGTATGATTTGTTCCTCTGCGACGAGCGCGTGGCTCCAATGATGCCTGCTCTGCTGGGTACAAAGTGGATGCAGAAGAAGAAGATGCCAGTCGCAGTCAATGTGGTCAAGAGTAGGCATATGAAGGCAGAGCTGGAAAAGGCCATCGGATCGACCAGATTCTTTTCCAACAAGGGATCGACAATGTGAGTTGACTAATTTTGTGTCCTGATGGGATGCAAGTGCCTTTGTCTGACCTGTAACATCTCTTCCACTGCCCAATTTCAGCTCGGTACCCGTCGGCTCGCTCAGCCACTACTCTCCCGAGGAGATCCTAGAGAACCTCTCCACCGCTCTGCCCAAGGTGGTGAGCAAGATCCCCTTCGACGGCTGGCAAAACATTCAAAACATTGAGATCAAGACGGGCAAGAGCGCCAGTCTGCCGGTCTGGAACTGCGATCTCGACTCGCGATGGGTGGGGGTGCCGGATGCCGAGATGATCGAATCGCCAGAGATTTCAGAGGCTGACAGCGAGAGCGAAGCGGAGGAGGCTGCGCCTGCACAGGCACAGGTGGCGGCCGCTACAAAGCCGAAGGAGGGTTCGAAGAAGACGAAGTCTTCGACTCAAGTGGAGAACAAGGGAGCTGCCAAGGCTGGCAAGGTTGCTGCTACTTCTGCTGCCAAGGTGTCGGGTGACAAGAAGGAGAGGGAGAAGAAGGAAAAGGCGGCGACAAAGGGCAAGAAGTGAGGTGGGATGCTCAAGCTGATCGGACGCAGGAGTAGTCATCGGTTCACAGGCTTCAGTGGACAATTCGATCCCATTCCATTGACAATCAGCGCGAACAATGTGACAAGATATGGGTCGTTTGATGCGTGGTTCTGTATGCTTTTACAATCTGATGACAACGGAAAAAGTAGAGGGCGCCTGTCAGTAGGCTGCTCACAGAGGAACAGCCACGCAAGGCCTCGCTCCGATACGTGCTCCCGGCCCACTCTTGCCCGTACGTTGGCATGGCCCAACGACAGACTCACCCTATCCTCTTCATGGCTTCTCTATATGCAGGGGAATTCGCAGCTCTATGCAAGACGACTCACTTTGCAGCTGACTTCGATCCCTCTCCCTTCCACTCTGGATCGACTTGCAGCAACATCTTTCCCCAATTCTTTCCCTCGAAGAGGGCCTTGAGTGCATCAAGGAAGTTTTCCACGCCGACTTTTTCGTAGAAGTGGAACCTGGTGGCAATCTTCTTCTCTGCGAGCCATGTTGCGAGCTGAGCGATGGCAGCCTGGTACACGTCTTGAGGCCAGAAGGTGCCAATGGCAATGTAACCTTGTAGGGTCAAACGCCTGGCCACGATGACAAAGGAGTTCTTGAGTCCTTCGTAGCTTCCACCATAGCCACTGATGGCACCACAGCAGGCGATTCGGCCGTTAGGGTTCATGGCCAGCAGAGCAGCATCGAGCGTCTGACCTCCAACGTTGTCAAAGTAGACGTCCATACCACCTTCAGGGCGGTCCGAGAGGGAGGCAATTTGCTTCTCGAAGTTTGCCTCGCGGTAGTCGATGCACTCATCTGCGCCCAACTCCTCGACGACGTACTTTGCCTTGCCCGGACCACCAGCCACTCCGACGATGTATGAGGCGCCGAGTTGCCTTGCAATCTGAATTGCCAGACCACCAGTGGCACCAGCAGCTCCGGATACGAGGACTCGGTCTCCCTTCTTGACCTTTGCAATCTCCTTCATACCCAGGTAGGCTGCGAGACCGGTTCCCCACAGTCCACCGAGATACTCGCGGGGCTCAATCCCTTTTGCAGGGTCAATCTTGTAGAAGAAGCCATTGCGCTGAGTAGCTGCCACGTCCATGTCGGCGTACTCCTGAGCTCCGAAGGCAGAGGAGAGAACCAGCTCGCCCTCCTTGTATTCGGGGTGATTGGACTTGATCACCGTGCCAACACCGCCGGCCCAAAAGGTTTCATTGAGCGGGGCAGGAGGGCGGTATGACTTCTTGCTGGGGTCCATGGAAGGCCTCATGGAGGGATCGAGGGAGAGGAAGTGGGTCTTGAGGAAGACATGGCCAGAAGCTAGATTGGACACGTCAGGAAGGGGGGCGGTGACCACATTGAGGATCTCGGTGGAGAGGGGAGCACGGCCAGGCCTCTTGAGGAGGTGCACCTGCTTCTGGCTGGAAGGGAGCGAGGATGAAGACATTGTGGCGGGTGGCAAGAGGACGCTGGTATGACAGAGGCTGTCGTGAGAGGAACAAGTGGATGATGGAGTGAGCGAAGCGGATGAGGACTGGTACTTGTACCGCTGCGAGTGTCCGGCTTCCGGCTCAAGAGACACCCAGGGCTGGCAGAGTGACCAGGAAAAGTGGAATGTCCGGAGAGGCAAGTGACAGCCAGGGGGGGCAGTACACCAGCACCACCTCATAAGGGGCCGAGGGGCGGCAGCAAGCATCACCTGTCACTCGTCCGGAAATACCGACGTGGCTGGCCTTGGCTGCGTTTGCCCCACCTCGCTTCCCGCGCCTCCGTCTGCTCCGCCTCGGCTCTAAGCCCCACACATTTCCGATGAAGCGGCCCCGCCTCTACTTGTCCCTATCTCTGGCCCTTCCCACCCCCGCAAAAGCCCAGGAAGATACCGCCTCGCCCTCAGTCACGGACAGGCACTCCTCCACATCTTTCATACCCAATCTCATCTCGCTCCTGATGGCATCAGCAGGGACCGCAATCACTCTTGGGCCGACAAAGGGCGCCTTCGAGTCCTTGGATTCGCAGGAGCACCTTCACCTTGCCTTGGCCCAGGTGTACGCCTCTGACTTTGACGACGAGGCCGCCGGATCCGAGGCGACGGGCTTCGACAAGCTCAAGGCGTATGCTACCAAGGCCGCAAAGGACGGAGCTGACGTCGTAGCATTTCCCGAGTACTTTCTGACGGGCGCAAAGATTGACACTTGGAATGCAGTCAAGAGCAAGGGCGGACCAGCTCCAGCGGCACTCGAGGGCTATCGCGCTAGTGGCAGTCGCAGCAACTCCATCTCAGTGGCAGAGAGCGAAGGTCAAGAGGAGAAGCATTGGATTGAAGAGGTCTGTGAGCTAGCCAAGGAGCTCGATATCAACATCATCGCAGGAACCGTAGTCGAGCTGGGCCACCATGTGCCCACACGACAAGAAGTAGGTGGGGATGAAGAGGGCAACCTCCACAATACGGCCTACTTCATTGGTAGGGAGGGAGAGATCAGAGGTAGATACACAAAGAGGGTGAGACAATGCTCGCAGCACATAGATGCGCTTAATTGGTTCACCTACATGACGCTGATGCAGACCGCAACCCATCTATGCGCTTTCGCTACAGTGCCTCTGGCATCCCGAGCGAGACCCTCTCACCCCGGGCCACTCCAACACGCATCCATCTCCACTTCTCTTCACTTTCACTACCAGACGCGGCAAGACTCTCAAGGCTGGCATGCAAATATGCTGGGACTTGGCCTTCCCCGAGTCCTTCCGTAGTCTCTTGCAGGTCGATTCAGAGACCGGAGAGACAGACGGCCCAGACATCGTCTTTGTGCCTACCTGTTGGTTCGCTACCGATGCAGGCGAGCCAGGACTGAGGTGGAACCCATCTCCCGCGGGAGAAGCTGCCATCCTTGACGCACTGACGATGACGAGAGCGCTGGAGTGCGAGAGCATCCTGTGCATGATTAACATTGCCGGCCGTACCTGGTCTGCAGAAGATGATCGCAAGTCGGCAAAGGAGCTGGCGGAAGGAGCGCCAATCGGTGTGGGAAGAACGACCATTGTGAGCCCCTTTGTCGGCTCTGTCGGCAGGCTGGACGGGGCCGAGGAGGGAATGCTGTACGCGAGTATGAATCTGAAGATGTGAGTAGAGAAGCAAGCGAGCGAGCGCGTTCCTGAGGCTCAGCGTGTTCGAAAGCAAGGGCTCATTCTCACTGCTCAGACCATCCTTGCTCTTGTACCTTACTCTGTCACAGACTCAAAGACATCCGCGACGTCTACAAGATTCGGGTAGATCTCCTCGCCAATGCCCGCGGCTAAGACAAGGTCGAGGCCGCGTCGTTCGTCTGTATCTCGCCCTTTTTTTTTTTTTTTTTTTTTTAAGGAATGTATGTATCTGTATCTCATCGTGAATCATACGCACTACTCTTCTCATGGTCAGCAGTGTGCAAAGCAGGTAGACGCCGGCGTGGCGAGCTTCAGGCTAGATGACTGAAGTACCGAGTATCCCCACGCCTGAGCTGAATTTTGGGTATATGTATTGTGACCTTCGGCATCGGTCTTCAAGTTCTGTGTGGTTTAATGGTTAGGACGTGCGCTTGTCATTTCACAAGCCCTCGGTTTCCGAGGAACCTTCCTGACTGCGCGAGCTCGGGGTTCAATTCCCCGCACGGAAGTTCTTTTTTGGCGCCTCGCCTCTTTCTTTTTGGTTCTGATCTTCTTAGCTTGCCCGCTCCGCTCAACTTATTCAGGCGGAACGTGGAAGACAACAAGTGATCACTGGTGCCAGTGGAGAGTGCTGGTGGGCGCGAGCGGCAGTGCGATGGTATGACAACATGGAAGCAAGCTTCCAGAGATGGTCGGACAGTCACCACTTCTCCCTCTCTGCACCGTCCCTTCGGCTATTTGGTCGGTCTGCAAATCGAGCACTCAATAAGAATCGAAAAACAGATGAATTAAATGGTGGTACATGAAGGTGATCTTACATAGACTTCGTAGAACCCTGGCATTACGCAGGCGGGCGTGTCTGCCGCGGCAAGTCCTCACAAATTTGGCGCTGCAGAGACAGCAGCTAGGAGTTGCTCCATGGGAGTTGCTGCGACCACCGAGTTGCCGTCGGTCGTTGGTGACGTAGCCTGTTGCGTGGCCGTTGGAGATCGAAGAGCGGCTTGCACAGCGGCCACAATCCCAGCAGGAAACACGATCTTGTCCCACCTCACTGCCATCTGCGAGCCTCGAACCCCGTCGACTACAACTACTTCTCCGTCTCCCAGCGCAACGACAGTAGATTCCCAAATGCCGCCACTGCTCTTTATTTGAATGGGAGACCCGACGGCAAGGCGATTGGCGCACTCCTTGAGGAACACGGCTTTGCGGGCGCTGTCGGTATTGCGTGCTTGGGGGTTGTGGCTGCGACACAGGATGACCAGACGGTCATCTGCCTCTGCATCAGGCTTCTCGGAGCTCGTCGGAGACGTCGGCGGTTCGGAAACGGCGGGGGTCCTCTCAACAGATGCGCTTGCAGCTGCTTTCGAACCTTTCCCCTTCTTGCCCTTGCTAGCGTATCGACCCTTGCCTTCGAGTTTATCCGCTTCGTCGGTCGGATAGTAGTCGTACATCCATCCTGTTGACTCCATTGTGGCACAGGTGGGATGAACGGCTTTGCTGCAGTTGCCAAATGTGCATTGCACGCAGCATCCCTGCTTCGCTAGTTCGGGTGTGGGACAAGCCGCGCATTTCTGCAGATGAATGAGGATGCATGCCACGAGTCAGTATTGCATACTTCTCAACCGAAGGTAATCAGATCTAGCTTCACTCACCAAGGTCCACCGCGCTTTCGTAATATTCTCGTAGCCCTGTACCTCGTCGCGGGATCCAGGGTCCTTGATGGATGGTGCGACCCACGTCTCGGGGATGGAGCAAGCGCAGAATCGATGGGCGTAGAGAAGTGGCTGAGCCTTGCCCGAGCGATTGGGAACGGGAACAAGATCCTCCATAAGATCGGAAGGGCAAAAGACGCAACGAACGTCGTCATCCAGGCTGTAGATCGCCTGCTCTGTCGAGTCTTGGCCGTCGCTCATGTGGGCCGCATCCGCATACCGGCCGTCTTCCAACTTGATTCGCTTGTGCCCGTTCTGACTCTGACCCTCCTTCGCTTCTGCAGCAGCTTGCTGGCGCCTGAGCCGATTCTTTTCGTTCTTGCGCCGTCTGGCCTCCTCTTTGCGCCTCAGCTGCTCCTCTCCTACCTCTGTCTGCTCCTTGAACTTCTGCTCCCGCTCCTCTTTGCGTTTCTCGGCACGCTGCAGCTCCTCGCTCTCTTCCAGTAGCGCATCTACGTCCATTGTCACGCTCTGTTGAGCATCCTCGCATTCGCAGGCTTTGGCCTTGCGACCGATGTCCAGCCAGCTCTCAAGTGCGAAGTTCACAGATTCGGCGCAATTGAAGCCAAGATTGTAGCCAGAATGGTACCCGAAAGGATACGTGATCACAAATTCCTGTGCATGCTGTACCACCTTGATGGGCCGGATATTGTTCGCGGCGAGGAAAGAAGGTGAGGCAAGGAATGACTTGTGTCGCATGAATTGCGAGCAGCGACGAGCGTCCGACGGGAAGACAGAAGCGAGTGCAGTCTCGAACCGTAGCCGATCTTTTTGAGGGATCGCGTACCACTGCTTGGGAGCGCCGAAATGGATATAGTTGATGCTGTACAAGTCCATGTCTGGTTTTGGAAAGACAGGGAGACATAGAGTCAGGTGGTTTGGGCATATGGAATTGCTCCGTCTCCAAACTCACCTTCGACGTGCCATGCAAAAGTTGCCCTCCACATTCCGAAGTATAGATACGGGTCAGTCACACCGGCGATTTTGCGCTTGAGCTTCAGCCTGGTCAGGAGATTGTCAAGGTTGCTGACGTTCCACGCTGTAGTCTGCGGAGTGAAGAGGGAGCCCTGGTGGTGAAGCAAGAAGCAAGAGTACGACGTTAGTGTACCGAGGGAAGGATCAGCTCAGAGGCTAAATACCGAATCAGGACCTGCGCTACTCACTTTGAGGTCCGCCCCATACATCGGAGGTTTGCCAAAGTTCAGACCACGCCAGTACTCGCTCTCGATCTCCCGGCAAGCACTAGGACTCCAATCCTTGGGGTCCGGCCGCTGTGGTCCACCGTCTTCCGTCTCCTCCGCCTGCTCCTTGACTGAGCCCTGTTCTCCTTCCCACTCCTTCAGCCAAGCGCTACGATAATCGAATGCATTCCACTCGGCAGCCGTGGTGAGATCAGCAGGTTTCAGCTTCGTGATCGGAGCGGAGGCAGGCTTGCCAGAGAGGGGCGGTGTGAGATACCCATTATTTTGCAATGGCGGTGTAGTGAATCGTGGCGAGCCCTCGGTGGTTTCAGAATCCTCGAGGCCACGCCGAGACGCATGAGAATCTGGAGACTTCGAGGCAGCATCCACGGCGGCGGTGCCCTGTCGCTTCGAGGGTGACAAAACGGTCATGGCAGGCTTGGGCGCCGCCTTGCTCGGCAGCGGTGCTCGGGCCTTGCCGCTCCGGGTTCTGATGCCACTATTGTCGCCCTTGGCTCCTTCTTCGCCCTTCTCGAGCCTTTCCCTGACAGCAGCCATCTCCTTGATCCTCTCCATTGAGGGTCCACTCATGTCTTGACAGACCTCTGCCCACTGCTTGACGTTCCATACCTTTGCCGGTCTTGTGACGTTCGTCTGCCTCCATAGACCCGGTTTAGCGGCGGGTACGAAGTGCTGGGCGATAGCAGACTTGATGCGTACAGCCTCTAGCGAGGGTAGAGAAGTCCCCGCAGAGGTGCTTTGCTCCTTCTGTCGGGCTACGTCAGCGGCCCGAAGGGAAGGTAGGGCGTCTGTCCACTCTTTAGGGGGTATGATCTTGACTATGCCAGACTTCATACCCCATTCATCTATGGCTTGACAGAAGCCATAGAAGTCCTCAAATTGCTCCATAGTCGGCTCAAAGACGGGAACGCCAGATTCATCGTCTCGCGAGTCGGAAGCGCTAGCTTCCATGGGGTAGAAGTACGAAGGTCGTATAGGGGCGGGGGGTGATCTGTGATGTTGGGAGAGAGCAGCCTTGGGCTCAGTCTCGGACTTGACAGAGTCACTTCGTCCTTGAGAATGATAATAACGATCTGACTGCGAGGACGAGCAAGGGGAGGTAGGTGGAGAGGATGTTCCACCACTGTGGCCACTGCTGTCTGTCCTGTCGTGCTGATCGTCTGGGTAGATGGAGGAGGGGATGCTGCCATCCTCTGTGGAGGAGGAAGCTCGGGGGGTGTACCCCTGCGAGAAGGTGGCGGCTCCAGAGAAGAGATGTGGAAGGACATTTGTATAGGAGCGCGATGAGGAAGAAGGGTCCTCACGGCGCTGTGGGCCGAAGCCATGGATCATATTCGCAAGTGACATTGCCATGACTGGCCTGCTCAAAGGAAAGACTTTGATGGGGAGGTAGATGCCTGGTATGGGCAAAAGGTGCGGATGTGGCTTGGTTGGGCCGCCTTGAGGCCTTGTGCGTATGTGTGGACAGACTGCGGCTCGCTGTAGGTGAGATGTATGAGGGCGGGAGGCTGGAGGAGGTGGCAGTGGTGCGAGGGTGAGGTGAGCAAGGGGCACGCAGGTATGGCCTTCCTGCCGCCCCTTTGGCGGACGGAGTGGCTTAGCCCGGCGGGACTGGCAGAGTGCCGCCCAGCTTTGGTCCCCGGCGCGCGGAGCACCAGCCAGGCGAGCACACGCCTCCACTGCCCTTCCTTTCCCACGGCTGACAGGCGGGGCATGGCCAAGACAGAAGAGCAACAGCAACGCCAAGCGGGCCAATGAGGATAGAGTGACCACAGGCAGGCAGGCAATCAATCATGGCAAAGACGTGCATTAACAGAGAACAAATTGAAGTTGGCGAACATGATGGATGATGTGGGCAGGTGTGCGTGTATGTGGGATCGTGTGGGAGACAAATGCTGATGATAGTGCTCGCAATGGAGGGTGGGAGATGTACAGGTACGAGGGGAATGATGGAACCGGAAAGGTGAGGTTTGCTAAATTATGGTGAGGTCGAAGGGGTTGTCGCTCATGCTGCGTAGTATACCTGGCCGACTCTGGACCTGTCGTGGCTCCGTGGCTCGATTCGATTGATTGGGCGCACCTCTGCCAAAGCACTTCTCGCCTTCGCCGTCGGCGTCTTCGTCGTAGTCGTACTCGCCATCGTCAGAGACCGAGTCTGGCACACCAGCATATTCCTCGTGGTAGCTAGCACGGCCCTGATCCAGACCAGCACGAAGAAGACGTGAACCATGAGCAACACCTTGAGGAATGCTGCGGAAGACGTTTTCCTCTTGCTCCTCTCCCTCACTTGCCGAGCCCGATGACCAGCCAGCTCGATCGAGCTGCGCCAAGAGCCGTCCGTCTGGCTGGCTCTTGGTTACAAGCGCAGCACGACCGCCATAGCCACGGGCAGCGTGCTTCGAGGTCGAGGACGACGATGGGCCGTGCTGATTACTCGAAAAAGGATTCTCTGCCTTGCCTCGAAGGAAGTCGCTCCTTCGCCTATTACGGCGAAGCACCTCCTCGCGTTCGGTGTCTGCTTCATCCGCATCTTGGTCTGCCTGCATTCGCTTACGCTTCTTCTCCTCCTGATGGTGATCCTCTGCTGTCTGACGACGAAGAATCTCTGCAGCAAAGAGATTTCCTCGACCCTGACCGTGAGGGGGTGCGATGCGGGAATGGGACCCATTGCCTTCAGCAGTGTGGTTCAGAGAAGCTCTCTCGCGCTTTTGTGCTTGAAGCGTCTCTTCGAAGGGCGATGCCAACCGACCTACACCGGGTGGATGTCCGATGGAAGCGGTGGCGGCCTTTATGGAAGGAGCTCCTCGCATCCTCGTCCTACGTCTCTCTTGGGCATGAGCTTCAGGGAAGAGAAGCTTCGGCTGTAGGCGTGTGCCAGGCCCACTCTGGCGAGGCTGCGAAGAGAAGAGACTAGCATCCTCTTCGGAGTCATCGTCGGATGCTATGTCCGGATGTAGGATGCGCTGACCACGGCTGGTAGAGAGTGAGAGGTGAGGGGAGAGAGAAATGAGGGAAGGGAAGGCGTGAGATCGGCAAGTTCGGCTCGGCAACGGCTTCTTAGTGCTTTCGCAGGTAGACTCACAAGACATAGGTGAGGAATCCCCTCCGGTGCGCTTTGGCTGCTTCTTCTCCTCTGCTGTGCCTCTTATCATCGTACCTGGTGTCGGCGCGTGTGTACCTCCGTTGATGCTCTTCCAGGAAAGGATTGTTGGGAGTGTCACGGATGGGGCGCTGGTCGAAGACGACACCGGCATGAGACGGCTTTGCGAATGTCCGAAGAGGGGAGACTGGCGATGACGACGAAGACAAGGAATGCAAGGGAGGGGAGAGGGAGATGCTTGCTTGCCGTGGCGAGGAAGGGCCGGCGATAGCCTGATGGACTTCCTGAGAGAGACGCAAGGGTGCTGCTTCAGTGTGCCAATGGTCGAGTCGCGGGTTGCATGAGCCTCCTTCGTCAAAGTCGGAGCGATAGGCATGACCGCCGTCTTCGTCCGCAGAGCTGTCCTGTTCCTGGGCGAAGGCGTTGAGGTCGTAATGGTGGGCGTGAGGCTTGCTTCGACCAGAATCTGGCGGCGTGGGCTCGGGAGGAAGATACCCATAGACTTCCGGGAAGTCCTCAACGGCTGCGTGGATGGGGTGGGAAGTGTTGGATAGATTCTGTCTGAAAGCGTCCTTGTACTGATGCGAGTACCGATGGTGACTGGACGACGAGGAAGGTGGTGACTGCTCTTCAACGTGGGAGGACAGGTTCTCACTCTCCGCATGAACTGTGATACGTTGGCTGCTGATTGAGGCATGGCGTCCGAAATGATCAGCCATCTCAACGACGGCTAGGGGGCGTCTAAAGACCACTGGAAGAGCAGAGGGATGCGGTGCTACTTGTACGGTGCTCTCCGCTGGGTCCTGCTGCCTTGAGTGAAGCTGTGAAGGTAGTGAGATCGAATGCAGGGACGGGCAATTCTAGAGTGGGCTGAGTCGTGTGAGATTGGCAAGGTGGATAGATGCTGTCTTGTCTGTAGTAAGGTAGAGAGAGATGATGCTGGTTGAATGGGGGCAGCTGGATGTGTGGGTGTGGGTGAGGGTGCGATACTGCGTCAAGAGCAGCAAGAGGAGTGGTCCGGTCGGCGTGGCATGGGCGTGGTAGAATGAGCGCAAGTGTCCACCTACGCCTCTGTACAGCGAGGATCGAGAGGGTAAAGGTGGAATGGGTCTGACCTGACCAAGAAGAGCAAGTGCGGGTCGTTGGTGGTGTGCAGGGTGCGAGCCTCCGCTGCCCGCCTGCCTGCGCCCGCTCCGCCCCATGCACGGCACGATTCTGAGGCGCTTCTTCGACTCGCTCGAGCAATTTACGCATCGCCACACGCGTCGTGACCCGCGCGCGCCCGTGTGTGTGCGTGTGCGTGTGTCGGTGTGTGACGGACTGGGTGTGCCTGTATGCGTACCTACGTGCGCGTCGGCAATGAAGTTCGGAGACCCCTGGATACCTTCGGGGCAGGACGGACGCCAGAAGAAGGCTGCTAATCCCTGCTATCCCTTGTGCCAGCCGATCAGCCGTACCCATCTCACATGAGCTCAACGTATCACACGTATAGCCTCTGCCCCTTGGTCTCGCCTCTCGGGGATTCCGCCCGTGGCACCAACCTCACACGCGCGTGATCGGAGCGGAAGCGCGGCACCAAAGTGGAAGGACGCCTGAGTTCATGCAGGCACCCGTGTGGATCTGCACCCGCTGTTCGCGAAAAAATTTCGCAGCTCGCACCGCGCACTACTTCGCCCTCGTACAGGGTATATAACCCGAGAAACGAGCGCTACGAACCCCCTTTCCTGTTTCGGTAGACGATACTTCATGGAATCATATTCTATAGTAGTTTATCGATCTTGCTTGCTCACACAAGCCACAATATTTCACCGCTCGACGATGAGAGATCAGATCCGTCTCTCCAGCCAACGAGGACGATAACCCCACTTCAAGGCAACCTCATCGTCTAATCTCCCAGTGCTTCTGGCCACCGAGGATCGCATGGGCCCTGTCTTCAGACTGCGCTTGCCTAGAGGTCGCTCGGAGGTGGAGACGTTCTTGCTTGCAAGACGGGACTTAGACACCTGATGATCTTGTCCTGTTGCCGATGACTTGCCATCTTCGAGGTTTGGTCTTCGCTCACCTCAATTGAGAGGCGAGGACCACTCGAGGGTGGGGAGAGTCGGACGGGTCTGAGGCGGATGTACAAGAGTCGAGCTTCACAGCGAGCTCTGTCATCAGAAGTATTGTTGGATCTGTGCAGCAACATTCACACAGGTGCTTGAGCGATTCTATCGCCAAGCAGTCTGCTTCCCCCCCCCATGTATAATGATGTTCGCTCAATACCATTCTTTGTGCATCTCTTCGTCTTGTTCTCAGCGTGCTACGTAACCACTCCCACACTTCTCTCCTCACAATGGGGAGATTCTTCGCCGCTGACTTGTCTGGCGAGACGTCGGCCGGCGAGGGCTCTTCCAAACTCCGACCAGTGGAGCTCTGAGCCACCGTGCCCCTTCCGAGGCTGATCTCACATCGACCCAACACTTCCCCACACATCGTGCCTTCTGCCATAAGACGCTGCCTGAGGAAGAGCCAGATCCCTAGCAAAGCAGACTTGGCTCCTTCTTCATCGCCTGGCACGGGGAGTGGAGTCCTAGTATCCACCTTTGCCCGGCCTATGTCGCCTCCGGCAACGCCTGTGCCGCCAACACCAGCGTGGGAAGATGCTTCCTTCGGATTAGACCCATCTGCCGACACCGCTCATCACCTGGAGGGACGCAAATGGCTGCCGCAATCATTGACGACGAGGCGGGATGCTACCGAGCCTGGTAGCCCAATGCAGTTGTCAATGCTGCTCACGGGTTCAGGTAGCTGGCGATCTTCATCATCAGCTGGCTCCTCCAAAAGGCAAGGGCGAAGGAGCGTACGATCTCGCACCTCCTCCAAAACGGGTCTCACAATAGGAGGGACACGATCCCGACAGTCCTCCTCACCAGCTACCGTGTCCAGGAGCGGATATGAGGCCCCGCCCTTCACGCACCCACCCACTGGGTCCCTCACGCTCTCTCTCCTCTCGCCAGGAGCCCTGTCACTTACTCGCAGATTGTCTCTGCTCGTGTCAAGCCTCTTCATCAACGTCGTTTTGCCCTTCGCCAACGGTATCATGCTCGGTACCGGTGAATCCGTGGCGAGAGCCCTAATTGTTCCTGGGGTGCTCGTAGTGTGGAAGTGGACGCTGGCGCCGACTACAAGGGTGAAATAGAGAACGTTCACCTCTCCCACCCAATGTCAGCACAAGCGCAGTAGCGATGCTGTCCGTGTGCGGTCTCAGTGCCACATGGATCCACCAGTCGAAAGATTTCAATTGCAGCGAGAGACAAAGTACAGATCACAGGTCCACCTTCCAGCCTTTTGCTGCTCCCTGCCACTGCCGCGTCGCCTTGACAGGAGGGAGCTCCCATCCAATCATGCTGGCCCGTTCGCTTGCCTCACAGGCTGGCCCTGTGCCATATGTCGGGGTAATAACGACTTGTTGAACCTGTTGCGAAGAGGAGGCCGCTCGCGCCCCGCCTTTGAGAGCAGCGATGTTGCTTGACAAGGAGCTCAACTGACCAGAGCCACTTAGAGGGACAGGATTCGAGAACGAGCACAGCTCCTTTCCCAATTTTGGGATCCAAGCTGGGTTGATCTTGGTGATGCCTTTCAGGAAGACCCTGCCGCGAATTTCAGGAACGTCAAGGGCAGACTCTTCTTGCGTGTCATCGTCCTTGCTCTTGCGATCCTTAGGCCTCGATCGCATCGTTTCACCAAAGACACACCACTCCGGAGGTGCGTGCTCGAAGAGCGAGGAAGAACGGTGTATATACGCCGCTTCACCACTGACGCCCATGGCGAGGTAGGGCACATGGCGACAGGACTTCCACTGAGTCTTCAAACGGCCTTGAGTCGCTTGCTCTGCCAAACTCGGTATAGATCGGGCAGCTGCTGGGACAATGTCAGCCCGAACTGCCACTTGGTCTATGTAAGCACAGGCAATCAATTGTCTGATGATCTTGAACTGGGTTTCGGTCGGTGGCGCAAGCTTGCTTGAGGACAACAAGGCGGTCACCTCCGTAGTGGTCTTTGACGGTTCCAAAGTTGACAAGACGAGAGCCGAGAGCTGCCTGCGTAATTGGTCGACTTCAGTCATCGCCTGTGTAAGATAAGCAGGTTGACAGGTCAGTCTCCAAGCACACTGGCCAGATCACACTGCCGGTCCACTCACCTTAGCCCTCAAGAAGTTGTCCCTGCAGAACGTCGCGCTATTGTTGGAGTATGCATAAGCTCCGACCACGGCAAGCATGCGAAAGGCATCGCTCACTCCAGCGCCACCGAGAGAATCGAAGGCGCTTAGGACCTCGTATCTCTTCTTGCGCTTCTCTTTGCGCTCTTGTCTGCCTTTCTCGGCTTCGGACCGGAGGTGGACAGAGCCTGGATTCCCATCAGCAAGGCTATCTGCATCTTCATCCTCTTCGTCGTCAGCAATGGCCTCGTCCCTAACGAAGAGGTCATTGACACTCATTGCTGCGACGAGAGCGACCACAAAGGGGAGGCACCCATGTTGCTGGCCCTGCACGAGCAGCTTCGCAAAACGAGGAGAGAGTGGGAAGAGGGACATTGTCCGCCCCAACTCTGTGATTCTGGTCACAGCCTTCCGAGTCTTATCATCGGTGACAGTCTCCAGTGCTCCGAGTCTAGTCAAGATCTTCTCGGCTTGTGCAATAGCGCTGCGATTCGGCGGCGTAGGGAAAGGGAAGTTGATCACGTTATCGATGTTCATGCTCTTCATCTGCAAGACCAGGCCCTCTACCGGCATGCGGCGGATTTCAGCTTCCGCATGATCTTCGAGGTACTCCTCGTAGACGTTGGAAGAATACAGCCTATAACAATGACCGGGTCCAGTTCGACCGGCTCGGCCGGCACGCTGTGCCGCAGAAGCCTTGGAGATCCAGTCTACCTTGAAGGAAGAGACTCCCGACGAGCCGTCGTACTTGCGCTCCTTTGCTCGCCCGCAATCGATCACGTAGCGGATGTTGGGGATGGTCAGGGACGTTTCCGCTACATTGGTGGCTACAACCACCAGCCTTGCATCGTCCGGCGGTGGTTTGAATACATCCAGCTGTTTCTCTGATGGAAGCAACGAATACAAGGGAAGGATATGCATGGGACTCGTGGGGAAAGCACCGGGGCCAGTTCTGACCGGAGCTGCCTGTTCTAATTCCTCGTCCCTGTCGTTGTCATCTTCGGAGTCTGTGTCAAGTGCCTCTGGATCCTCGTTTGGAGTGGCTGACTTCTCACCCTCACGATCAACGAGGGTGGAGTCGTTGTCGCTTTTACCGAGGGTGACTTCTTCGGCCTCAACGTCTTCACGCGCAGGCCGAGCTGTGACACGTACGCCCGAGTCGGCGCCGTTCTCATCGTCCGCTTGGTTGCGGCGGAGATAAGCTTCTTCCTGGCGATTGCGCCGCCGCAGATGAGCGTCTATCGCACGTCTTCCAAAGCTTGCTTCGAGTTGGTTGCAGACCGTCTTGATCTCCTGTTCGCCAGTCATAAATATCAGTATACCTCCCGGAGGAAGCCGCGTGTGAATTTTGCCTGCCTTGTTGACGGCCTCCTCTTGGTAGTCATTGGGTGTCTTGCGATTGAAGTGGACCGAGACGGGATGTTGCCGAGCATCAATTCGGATCAACGGTGGCGGCGTGGGAAACAGAGTTGGATTCTCCACAAAGTCGGCGACACGCAGAGTAGCGCTCATGATAACCAGACGAAGAGGTTTGGCTCCTTTCTCGCCCTGGAGCCAGCGGTTGGCGCGCAGACGTACGATACGGCTCAGCAGACCGATGAGGACATCTGTGTTGACACTTCTTTCATGCGCTTCATCAATGAGGAGCACGCTATACTTGCTGAGCAGGAGGTCGGTTGACACCTCGCGCAATAGAACTCCGTCCGTCATGAACTTCAGCGACGTCTGCGGCGACACTGTACGGTCGTACCGAATCTGATAGGAGACTCTGTTTGGTGGCAGATTGAGCTCCTTGGCAACGCGATCGGCAGTAGACATTGCTGCCACTCTACGTGGCTGTGTAATGCCGACCAGACCCGGATTGTCTAATAGTCCAAGCGACAGGAACGTACTGATCAGTAAGGACTTTCTTGAAAACCGCCTTTCAAAGTACCTACTCACCACTACCAGGCGTGCCGAACCCTCTTTCAAAGAGCATCTGTGCGACTTGCGTCGTCTTACCACTGCCAGTCTCTCCACAAATGACGGTGACCTGGTTCTCCAAGATTGTACGAACAACCCGATCTTCCTCTTGCACGACTGGAAGTCGCAGTCTGGCCTCGATGATCTCTGATGTGCGTTGCACCGGCACATTTCGGATGGCTTCCGAAGAGGCGATCTCGGCGTAGTGTTTCTCTGCGAAGGGTGACGGCCTGCTGGCTGGCTCATTCTCGCCAAGCGGACCCCGGATGACACCGTCCTCTGCGCCCATATCGCTGACCTTGACACTGAGACCAGCCACGGGTTGCAAGGGCACGCCCTCTTCAGTCCTTGCTTCGCCGACGCCATTCCCCAAGTAGATGGACTCCAGTGCTGTGCGTGCCCAGACTTTGAATCCAGAACCCCGGGAGGGCACATTGACCTCTCGGCCACGCTGGAGAGTATTCTTCGTTTCTTGGCTCAGAGCATCTTCTTCTTCGTCCTCGCTCTCAGTACCTTCTTCGTCGTCATCTGCAGTGCTGCCTTCCGAGCTGGCGTCACTACTCTCTTGCGACATGACACGAGATGCATCTTCCTCAGATGCAAAGCCCTGCCAGGGCGGACTTTCGCTTTCTGCCAAGGGCGCTTGGACGGGTATCAGGTCCTCTGAGGGACTTGTCCCGAATGTTGCGCCGTCAGGTTGCGCCGCGGAGCTGATGTGAGTTGTGCCTTCGACTTTCGCATCGTCAGAGTCTTCCTCATCCTCGCTTGGCAACGGCAAACCCCGGCGCCTCATAGCTTCCAAGAAGACAGCTTCATCCTCGCTGTCGGTGTCTAGGCTTTCATGCTCTGAGTGAGGATCTGAAGGCTCATGTAGTCTTTCTGATACGGAGCTGGTGGAGCTGTCATCGTCGCTCTCTTCTGAGCTGTCTTCTGAGCTGTCCTCGGAGCTGTTGCTCTCCTCCTCTCCTTTTGAGCTGTCGGCAAATAAGTTCTCCTCATCTCGCTGCCGTCTCCTCTCCCGCTGAGACGGTCCCTTCCGCCTCCGTTTCCGCGAGATTGGAATCAGTGGCTGGCCATCGGGGCCTTTTGCGAGAGCGGATCCTAATGGAGCAGCAGAGACTTGTGGCATAGTCTTCTCGAACGCCGTATCGGTGGAAACGGCCTTGCTAGAAGAAGGCTGGCTGAAGAGAGACGCAGCCTCTAAGATCCGCTGCCTGCGAATGGGATCGTCGAGTACCTCACCTTGTGGACGGTCATTAATGCTAGATGGGACTGGACTGCCCTGTGGGCGTTCGCTTTCATGATCCTCACCATCTGACTCGGAAGCAGACTTTTCGTCTCGGCCGAAGTCTCTTGCTTTTGCTTTACCCTCGATGATCTCCCTAGCAGATGCAAGCTTTCCGGTGCCCAGTGTCCTGGCACTAGCAAAGTCCATCCGATCGCCTCTGACCTCGGCCGACGACTTTGCCAGCTCTGCCAAGAGATCGTTCCTGGCTTCCTTTTTCAGACGGGAGGCTATGTAGGCATCGAGACGCTTGCGCTTCTTGGCAGAGAGCTTTTGATTCGGGTCTTCTGTCGATGAAGCGGCGAGAAGCTACAAGGAGACACGGATTGCAGATTGGTCAATTTCATTTTACAAACGTTGAGAGCAGAGCCGAGCCGAGGCTTGCCCACGCCTTGTCTATGCTCTCACCTCTTTCCTGAGCTTCTCTTTCGCCTTCCATGCTTCCTCTTGAGCGCTTCCGGGAACTATCACCTCGCGGTTAGAGTCTGGGTGTGTGAAAGGTGTGGCCGAGGAGGATGCACTTGCGTCTTCTTGACCGCCTTCGCCAGAGGATTGAGTGTGCTGCTTGCGTCTCTTGTGAGAAGAGCCGCCGACGCTGGACTGTCTTGCCTTGGCATTGTACCGCTGTCGCTGCGGTGGAGGCATCGCTGTCAGGAGAAGGCGGCGGTGGTGGACGGCGGTGCGGAGGTGACCTTGGTATGGTCCCTGCTTGGACTAACGGAAGTAGCCCTTCGACTTCCTCGCAGCCAAAATTTCCCTCAGACTCGACTCCACGCGCGGAAATTCCCGCCGACGGGGAGCACGAGCCACGACGCTGCACACAGACGCTGACACGCACCACTGCTGCCTACCACACCAACCACCTCGCACCTCGTCCTCTACACCACAGCCACCTACGCGGCGCATACAGCCGCAGCCGCCTCGGCGTTGCATCCTCATCGCAATCCAGCACAGCCCACCATGCATCAAGGGCAGAGCGCATAGACACTTCCGCGCCATGAGCAGCGGAGAGCAGCAACCAGTCGCGTCCATGAGCGCATCCGAAGGACCGGAAGGCCTCCTCCGCTCGTCTTCAGCCAGTAGAGGGGCAGCGGTAGAGACTCAGGTCGGATCAAGTGATCAGTCCTCGAAAACAGCCTCGCAGCAACGACCTCGCGACTACGAACAGCTGCTCCACACTGGCCCGCCCGGAGCCTTCGACCCAAGCACTCCGTCAGGGACTGGCCCCGCCGTCCTCCAACCTTCGCCGATACGCAGCAGAGCACTTCAGCTGGCATCTTCTGATGATCACGGCGCAGATTCGCCTGCTGATGCTGCGGAGAAATCAAGGCCTGGCTCTCGTGACCAAAGCCGTGCATACGATGAGACCAGCGCAGATCCCACAATGGATGCCAACGTAGCCCCCCCTGCCAGTCCCCAGCCCATCCTGACATCTTTGGGGTCACCAGTCGCACAGACGACGTCAAATGAGGCACTTTCACCACCCTCGTTGCCATCCGCCTCTCCAAGAGCTCACACATCAAAGCTTCCATCGGCTCATACGCTTCTCTCCCTCGATGCCGTCTGGCGCGAGCCGCTCATCCTGCCCCCACTGAGAGACCGAAGACATTCCACGATCACCAGGGAGCGCCCCCATGAGCGGCCCAGTATCGGAAACGCCGCGGCTGAAGACACAGAGGTGGTCATGAATGGGAATAACACCACTGAAAGTCACCGCTCAAGTCATGACTCGCATGCCAGTGCGGGAGCAGGTCTCTCCACCACGGAGACACTACCGCAAAGCACAGACCGTGAAGCACGTACATTGCAGGACAGCAGAAAGGCCAACCTTGTCCAAGATAGGCAAGATGGCTCCGCGGGCCCCAAGAGCTCCCCATCTGATTCTCCTATGGCCAGACAGGATCACCGACCGTCCTCGCAGACTCCGTCAACGCCAAAATCTTCCCGTGCAACGCTTCCAAAAGATGGTGGAACTGACTCGGCTCACCTCGCGCCCTTTTCTCTGTGGGAGTATCTCAAAGAGGAGGTGCTGGCTACCGATGTGGACAGCACACAGGAGATGAGGTGGGACAGAGTGTCCAACTTCATGGCAGTGCCGTGGCAGTGCGAAAAGGTAAGTCTTAGTGTACTCCAGAGCATGCCGGTTTCTGAACTCCTCTACTACGTTCGTCGTTGATATCTTTGCAGATGATCCTCTTTGGTTTCGTCATCTGTCTGGACTCCTTCCTCTACACCTTCACCATCCTGCCTCTGCGCTTTGCTGTCGCCGCAACGTTGTGGTGTCGCAATCTCCTTCACAATGTCACAAGACCATCAGCGACACCTCACGTATCTCTACACTCCTCCCACAAGTGCGATATCATCAAGACTGCCTTGATCGTTGTCAGTTGCTACATCCTCAGCCAGGTGACTGACGCCTCAAAGATGTACCATTCAGTCAGGGGACAAGACACTATCAAGCTCTACGTCATCTTCAATGTGTTGGAGATCGTGGACCGTCTATGCTGTTCGCTCGGGCAAGACCTCCTCGACGCGCTCTTCAGTCGCAGAACGCTTGGCAGGCAGTCTGATGGTCGTCAACCTCTCATACGCCCCTTGCATCTCTTCGTCCTCGCTCTGATCTACATACAAATCCACACCATCGTGCTCTTCTATCAGCTGGTCACCCTCAACGTGGCCATCAACTCATACGACAATGCGCTCCTGACTCTGCTGCTGTCCAATCAATTCGTCGAGATCAAAGGGAGCGTCTTCAAGAAGTTTGAAAAGGAGAACCTCTTCCAAATGACCTGCGCCGATATCGTCGAGCGCTTTCAGCTCACACTCATTCTCTTTGCCATCGGAGTACGCAATCTCATCGAGGTGACAAGTGGTGGAGACAACCTATCCAGTGTGGCTTCTCGCCCTCGTGGCGGACCACTGGGAGACGTACCCCTCCCCAGGAGCTTCACAGTGCTGCCCAGTCTGTCGGTCCTGGCAACAAGTTTCGCGCCAGTCGTGATAGTGTTGGGCTCAGAATGCGTGGTGGATTGGCTGAAGCATGCCTTCATCACCAAATTCAACCACATCCGGCCATCAGTGTATGGTCGCTTCATGGATGTCCTCTGTCGCGACTTGGTCATTGCTGGACCTGCTCAGTCGGCCCCACCGCATGGACAGAGCAACTCTCGCACTGGAGATTCATCCACAAGGAGTGATGGTCCAGGCCTCGTTTTGCAAGCAAAGAGGAGGAACACGTTCGTGGATCAGTCCCCTATTCTCAGTCGGAGGCTCGGGTTCGCTGCACTGCCGCTGGCCTGCCTGCTTGCTAGAGTTTTGGTTCAGATCTACGGCATGCTGGGAGACGACTCACATTACGACGAATGTGCCATTCCGAGCTCAGCCGGCCAGACCAGTTCGGGAGCCTACGACTACGTCGTCGCGTTGATGCGTAACGTCCTGAGAGGGAAAATTTCGGCCTTATCGTTTTCTCCCAGTACTTCCCTACAAGCTCTGGCTTTGCTGCTGCCAGTCATACTCTGCTGGGTCTTCTTGGTGGCGCTGAAAGTCTTGCTTGGAACAGCACTCATCTCTTTCGCTCACCATCGCTACAGCACCATGTCAGCGCGAGAGGTAGAAGAGGAGCTCAATGACAGGACGCGGCCTCACATCGGTGTCAACAGTCTTGAAGCCGCTTATGAGGACAAGGTGAAACAGGTCTTAAGCGGTGCGGATGGAGCAAAAGCGAGTGGTAGACCGAAGAATGGGCCTGGCACAGGAAGCAATCTTCTGGACGTCAATCGCTACACAATGGTCAAAAGTCGGCTGTATTGACGATGCTCGAGAACAGCGTATCAGCCACCGGCCGATAGGCGGTCTCTGCTGTACCGTGCTTCTACCACCATTATGTTATTTGTTGATATCAATGCACTTGTCTACCCCACGCACTGAACCTCCGCATCGTGTACTGCTTGACCCTACGCAGCGGCTCCTTCAAGCGCCTTTGTATGCCTTGCGAGTAGCCCAACCTGTGACACCTCTGGTGGAGCGCAGTAGACTTGTGCCTTGTGTTCGCCTTTGCGTGTCTTCATGGTGGTACAATTTTACAACGCAGAGAGCTGAGCCAACTTGATCAACCGATTTATAGGAGCACACAGTTTGCAAAGACCAAAAGGTGCGCACACGATTGTCAAAGACCAGCGCAATGAGATTGCGAAGCCGGCCTGGCTTGCTTGATCGCGAATTCCAGGGGGCAGAAGGCTGATTTGCAGTAAATCACAGCAGCCGGAGATTTTCTGGCCTGGAGGCTTGCAGACGACTGCAGGCCCCGCTTGCCTGGATCTGAGCCATGGCATACAGCACCTACCGTGGCCTAATAAGCCGCCCCACCCAGAATGCACAGCACCCTGCGACGTCACGATCCGGTATTGCATACAGTACAGTAGTTGCAATGGTTGATGTGTCACTCGCACCTAAGCAAGTTTCACATACATTGGCAGCTTGAGCAGATCTCTAGCAGTTCGTCTTCTTTCGGCAATCTGGAGCCCATCACAGTATACTGTAATGTAGTAGTAGTGCAATCTGGCCAAGTGAAGGCAGTGGAGCAGTGTCATGCAAGCAAATTGAGGGGGTGAATTGCAGTCTGCATCACTGTAAAGCGAAATTGACTACTGCTCACTGCAACTGGCATTCTATAGATGTCGTTCTGAGTGTCGTACAATGAGCAGAAGGAGCAGCTTTTCATAAGCTGTCTTCCGATCGGGAGGGTACATTGTACAGTAAGTTCTAAGGTTGCCGCAAATTTCACACCTGGCTCATTTGCTACTGTACGATACAGTACTGTACCGTACTGTACTGTACTTTACAACACTGTAGGTACAATCCGGAAAAGAGTACAACAGCCTGCCCCTCCCCTACGAGATAGTTGTTTGCTACTACTCTTCCTGAACAAAAGAATCAAGATCGTGCAGTGACAAGCGCGAGAGGATGAACTCTTTCCCTTCTTCAGTCTTACCCCACTTCTGGACGAAAATACAGTCTCTCGGAAGCTGGCATTGGCAGAGACTGTATTGCCTGATTTCACAGCACGCTGAGCATTCAGAATGAGATCGTTTCCGGAGTGCCACTGTACAGTAGTAAGGAATTGTTCAACTGCTCCTTTTTGTTACTCGTTCCTAGCAGCTCGAGGCCGAATTTGGCACGCCTTTCGATGCCCAGTTCTGACTCGCACTTTGACCATCTAAGTCTGAAGTCAAGCCAGTTGCATTGAAGATCAGAGGCTAGAATAATGTCAAACGGTGGAGCCTGAATGGCGTGCTGCCGTACTGTATTGCTCTTGTCATGGCTAGAATCTGAATGATCTGGCCAACCGTTGCTCCATTTGGCTAGAGTCGAGCAACAAGAAGAGTGGGGCAAGGACAAATTACGTTCTGCCCAGATACATTAGTCGTGCAACCTGACAGTATGGGAGATTCTGTAGACGAGCAACTCTGACGGGCACATTTGACCCTTTTTTTTTTTAGGTGAGGGATGCTGCCCTTTGCAGTCGGAAGCGTGATGTGTGCACAAACTGTGTACTAAGTTTGCGGCATGGATGAGTCGTCTTGTGAACAATTCTGTGACACCTGCATTTCATGTGCATTGCATACGAGTCGAATCGCAGCAGTTTGCGTACTGTAAATTCAACACTACCCAAAAGTCTCTTTCTGCCAGACAGCTGTGGATGTCGTCTATTATCATGAGGGATACTTGGTTCTTCTGAATGCTACTGTATACTGTACACAAGATTGCAAGCAAACTGACCCAGCAGAGGAGAAACTGTCTTCAGCAAAGTGACGCAGAAATGTGCAGAATACCGCAATTGAAATGCTACCTTTACGAAACCCCTTGCAAAAGTAGACACATATGCAATAATGATCAATCTCTGATGCAGCAGGACTGTGCATTTGAATGCGTTGCGGTGAATCCGTGCTCTTAAGTCGCTCAAGAAGTCTGTCTCACAGCTTGACGCTGTGGTCCTGGAGATGGTTGACACTATAGTCATGTTCGGGCACCAGGACAGGGTCAGCTTGACACCGTTTCGATGACGGACTGGCTGACTGACTTTTCTTGAGTCTCTTCCTGGACAATCCCAGCTGAAATTGAGTTGCAGCAGAGCTGCACCACTCTTCGGCGGTGCATTAGTGTGAGAGAGTTCACTGTACTGTACAGTATAGATCTGTTCGCATCACTTCCATCGATAGAGTACAGTACTGTGTACTACTGTATGCATTGTTTTGCTGTGATCAGACAAGAAGTTCCTCTCGATACTCAGTGGCGATCCATCTGCTATGCCACTGTTTCTTTCCGTGCCCTTTTGCGGCGTATGCGGCCTGCTGTCAGTCATTTCAACCTCTGTGCATCAACAAGCCGCGTATTCAACGCTCTTGCGAGTGATGGTAGAGCCGCCAGCAAAGCCCCAAGGGCACTTGCTACAGTACCAGATCCCACTTTTGGGTACATAGCAAACAATAGGCCAGAGTCAATACACAACGCAAGGCTACGGCGCTCCACTCAGGCCCACATGAGAGCCTTGAAAGTCAACTCGGAGAGGCGTGAGCCCTGCTGCGTCTTCTCGTCATGTCAGTCTAGCCCAACAGTCTCGAGACCATCGAGTACAGTAGCTCGGTGAGTACGATTATTGAGAAGATTTCTCGAAGGCGATCTCGATATGGCAAACCCATTGCTGTCCCCGAGAGCTCTGGTTCCTTTGCACGGGATCCACGCTGCTTGCACACATATTGCACATACTGCGATACTGCAGACATGCAAAGCATAGATGCGCACATACAAAAATGTTGCGACCTTGACCGGAGCAGACATACAGAGTTTGCACAGTTGACTGCAACGCGGTGTAGCTACTGTACGTGCATCCTTTGTGACAATCAATGCATGCTGTGGGATGTAAAGACCGCTTCACTGTACAGTACAGTACTGTACTGCAAGGCAATGCAAGACGAGCCCCTTTCACCTGACCTTTCTGCGTATGCGACAAGTCTTTTCGCGATACTGTTCAAAAAGAAGCATTACAGCACACTACTCCTTTCATCACTCAATTCTAGCCAAATGCACGTCAGATTAGCCGCTGCACCAAGATTCTAGCCAGGCCAAAAACACTTTGGCAGCATGCAGGTTCAAAAGTAGCCGCATGACATTGCTCTAGTGCTTGAATCTGGCTAAAGCGTGGCTTATTTTCAGGCTCAGATTGCTCAAACGCAAGGCAGACTGCCAGACCTCCACCAGGCCAGCCTGCCAATCTCACCTGCAGCCGGCTAGAATTGAGTGACGAAAGGAGTACTGTCCCCCGAGGATCTCTCTGCGAAGCAACACTAGAGTTCTCGGTACGTTCTCCAACCGCGAAGTTCGATCAAGTGTATGATTGAGTCTAGCTGTAGTACTATAGTCGCGTCGTTGCCTATCCACTTGTGTGGCGTTTAACGCATACAGTCACCCAGATCTGAAAGCAGACACGCCACGCCAAGACAACTTGAGTATGGATTGTCTTCGTGAGGTTCAGAGACCGGTCTCAGTCGGCTTTGTCGGTAGGCCTGCTACTGTACAATGCAGTTCAACCTTCGCAAACTTCAGTTGTCTGTACTGCAGGTGCATCACAGTAACGCAATCAAGCGCTGAAGCTGAGGCGCACGCTCAGGAGAGCGCTCCTTTGTATTGTGGCAACGGGCTTCTTTACAGGCGCGTGGACCTCACACGATGAAAGACGTCCCATGACTGGTCTCTTGAGAGGTCAGCAGGTCTTCTCGCACTGATCTTTTCCCCCTTCTGTTGCGCGAAGCCTAAAGCGAGGACTGGTTGCTGCGCGCGAAAGCTTCACTGACAAATTTTGGATTTACTTGCGAGCGCTCATCACGGCAACTCTGACGCCCACTACTGTACGAGCACAGTCACTTCTGACGCAGGCCAAAGGCAGTGGTACAATAGACCGCGGCGAACGTCCAGCGTGGTCTAACGCGAGGGAGTATACCGCCTGGGTGCGCCAGGAACCGAACGGGTGGAAAAGTCAAAATCTGGTGTCTCAACTCGCTCCGGGCCCACTCAGCCATTCTGTAAGCAACTGGCATCGTGTTCATGGGACCCATGTGACCTTGAAGTGACACAATACTGATGCCGATCCGTTACCGCAGTCCACAGACAATTGATTCGCTCACGATATCTGCGTAAATAAGCTCATCACTGGCCAGGAAGCTGACGAGAACCGATCCAAATTCTGCGATGGACGCTCTCCGACTACGGCTTCAGCAGCTCGTTTTGTGTCTCTGTAGATGATCTCAACCCGCATCAAGCGCTGCAAGACACCCATGGGGACGACCTCCTCAGGCGAGCGTTTGTCTGACCATATCGACGTCCCTTTCTATTTGGTCAGGCATCAAACCATATCGGAGATGAGGAAACATGCAGTGCCGACGGTCGAAGGAGCGAGGTAAGACTGAGCATTCACTTCGTGATCAGGTTGGGACCATGGAGACTACCTCGCCGCAAAGTCGGCACCATGAAAGATATTCATCGACGAGGAAGCTGCCGTAATGGCTCCAGAGGCCACTGTCTCACTTTTGCATCATGTCGCTGACACATGGAAGCTGCCGTATATCTGTTCACTCACTGTCCGCTCTTGACTGTATTCACGAGAAGATGGTTGTGATACTAAGAGGCCGAATGGTGTCTGACGTCCTGCACTCTTTCGCTGCATGTACATTGCCTACGCACCGTGAATCCGCAGCGATACTTCACCTCTCCGTCTGCAGTGACTCCTACAGACGCTGCGTACACGCTGCAGAATTCGCCTCAACAGTGAGAAGCGCAGTAGGATTTCAAAGCATCTATGGGAGGCAGAGAAATCTGTGCTTGCGAGCAACAGGACGGGTAGGTGTCCGCAGGCTGTTCTGGGGCGGATGCCATCCCGGATCATCACCCAGCTTCGATTCCAGGCACGCGCGGATCCTGGTCACACCTCGTGCCTATATGCGGACCTCTTGACGTTGTTGAGTGAATGACCAGGGAATATGGCGAGCGAAGACCTTTGACCTTCCTCCGCTTGTTGCTTCGCTGGCACTTTGCGTCCGGGAGTGATGATTGCAGATAGGAGCTGGCCTATTTTGATCCCGGTCTCGCTAGTGCTACTTGTGCTTCTGTTGCTTTCCCTCCGGACTAGCGCAGCTCGTCTGTTTCTTTCTGTGGACATCGTGACTGGAGTATACAGCGACCACCACCAGACACTTTGTACGCCTGACGGAGCACTATTCACCGCATGTGTCCTCTACCCACTGTTGTGTGTTTGACATTTCGCATTTCTTGTGTATCGCGCAAGTCTTCCTTGGCGTACAGATGGCAGTGAGAACCCACATGTCAGCTGTCTGCGCCGCAGGAAGATCGCCTCAGAGCTATTGCTGCTGTACCTACAGGTGTGTTTACACTGCTCATGCATGTTACATGCTACGCAAGCATTTAGCAGTGCGAGTGTCCCGGCGCAGGGCAAATATAAATTGATCAACGCCATCCGCATCTTCGCTGTGAAGCCGAAGATCCTATCTGGCCTCCTTTGACAACACGAGTCGGTGTGTGGGTCGATGACAGCTCGAGATCTAGGTGCGCGGCCGGGAGTATCTGAAGATGGCATTTAGATTTCCGTTACAGTATGGAGTCATCACACAGAAGGTCGAGTCAGATCTACACAGCTGAGCACACAGGCCTCTCTCCCCGGTTCTCGATAAGTAAATGCCTTCATAAGGCCTACTGTAAACTCCTTGTGGTCCTATAAGCCTAAAGGCGAAGCGTTGCTCCCTCACGACCTGCCCCGATGATCTGCCCTGCGTGACACCCCCATGGCCAAGAAACGTACCGGACCTCAACAATCGCAGCGTCCTACACTTGACCCGTGACGACTTGACTCTTGAACATCGTCCCAGAACGTCTGCCGGCCCACGAGCGCGAGTGGTACCCCCTCGGGAGAGAGAGACTGTCCTGATTCTCTACATCCACCTTGATGTTTCGCAAGTCAGAATCAACCTGCACTCCAGTCTTCATCTTCGACCTGGGTAGCGCAAGGCAGAACTGCAACTCTGAAAGGTTCGGCCACCCAATTATGACCTTTCAATGTGGTAGCATTCATTTGTTGTTCGCCGTGACAGGGCTCCCAAAGGCTATAGCCTCATGCCCTCAGCTGTCTTGAGCGATCGCCAAGCTCATGAAGCCGTCGAAAAAGGCACGGGCCTCTTCTCAATCGCCGAAGCGCTGCCTCCAGAGACTTTTGAGGCATCAGTAGGTCTTTGTGCATTGCCTCGGAGCCCAGCTGCTGGGCCTCGCTCAGATGGCATGAGCCGTCGCTGCCGGCATCTGACAAATTCACAAGGTCAGCGGTCGTTGTTGGGCTTGCAGCACGAGTGGCCATGCGACAGGATTCTTCAGGTGTAGGAGACGAGGCGGAATACACTTGTAGAGCTGAGTTCCTGTCCAGTCTGCTCTGCCAAATTTTGACGCGGCTGACATTGTGTGTCCCACATGACCTGCCAAGAACCCAGCCTGGCTATGTGCGAGATCGTGTGCTCAACACTCTTGGTGGCAACCAAGTGAAGCATGAGGTCTTGCGAAACTGTATATGGCAAGAATGGGGATCCTAAGGCGCTGGCTCCCCCCTGTGGCCAGAGAGGTCATGTGAGCCGGTAAGGAGTCTCAATACTGGAGGGAGACCTTGCGGAGTCTCATGAAGATGACCGGCGCGCGGGGTAAATTGAAGAAGTCGGTGGCCTCTCGAAGCACCCGACGGTTGCTATTCGTAGTCCTCACGGTGACAGCCACTCTGAGCCTGAAGGCAGGCAGCTTTGGTATCTCCTTCGCAGGCGGGGATAGCGAGGGCGTCAGGAGTCATTGCACATGTACTCCAGACAGCGACACGATTGGCAACCGTATAGACTCACTTTGCTCTTGTGCCTTCGCGATCTTCGATGTCGTATCGGATCTCCGTCTCCTCTCGATAGATTCTCGAGTCTCTCGCACCGCTACCAGCGTGCGTAGGAGAGTGTAGCTCAGTTCTGACGAGCAGTAGAGAAGGTGGAAGCTTCTCTGATACGACTTGCATTGGAGCAGCTGCTTGGCGTTATCCTTCTTCTTTGTGAACAAAGCCAGTGGAAGGTCGTCATTGATACGGTCGTGCATCGGAGCTGAGTAAGGATAGTGCCAGCGGTCACGACTTTCCTCACAGAGGTAGGTAGAGGGGGGCTTCGTTGATGTGAGCTGTTATTGGATTTACTCGAGTGCTCTCCTCTCTGAGAAGAAAAGAGGTGGAAAGCCTTCGTTGATAGCAGCTTGTGCTGCTTGAAGTGGAAACGTACTGAGCCAGAAGGCCACAGGAGGATCAGCCATCATATGAAGGTGATAGCTGTCTGAGGCAAAGACAGCTAGGCTTTCGAAAGAGAGGGTGGAACGGTGCGAGGGAGGAGGAGAGGGGGAGGGGAGGGGGAGGGGAGGCCGGGGGACCAAACGGCCTGCATATCTTTGAGCGAGCGGGGGTTTCGCGGCTCAGCCTTGGCAGCGATGCTGCGACGCCTGTTGCGGCTGTGTAATCACACGCGCGAAGGGGCTGAGCCAGCATTGAGGCCTTGCAGAGCAGTAGAGACCCATCAGAGGATCGGTATCTGCTGACGACGATGGCAATGTCTTTCCCAAGCGTGACCCTCCGTGCAGATCACTTGCTGACAGTTGACGCTTTGATGCCGCTCGTGCCTGTTGATCCGGTCTTCCCTGACGCGCTGCCCTGCTGCCATGAAACGACCTTCGAGCCTTGTCTCGTCCTCTTCCGCCTGCTGAGAGGACGATACGGCGTACGGACTGCTGAGGCCATACGGTTTGTCACACCACTGATCCGAGTCATGACGCGCGACCTTTGAGTACCCTACTGATCGGTCAGCATGGAACGAATAGAAGAGAGGCGCCGCTGCGCCGTCACGGGTCTGCCTCCTATTGCTCACACCCTTACCATGGCGATGTGTTCATCCCTTGATGAGGGCTGGTCCCCATGTCGCCTTGGCATTTGCTCTTGGGTCATCACAAGCAATATCTCCCACACTTTGTCGAGGACCGAAGCGAGTCGACGCCAAGAGGTGGGCAGCAGCCGCAATGCGAGGAGTGCGTGATGCGCCGTCGGGCATCGGGCCGCCATCCGTTGCAGTTATACAGCTTGCGCTAGAGCCGAGGTCCCGGACTCTAGCCGACAAACTAGGCTCAGTATTCTCGCCAATCGTCGTCTCCGGTCCCCAGTGCCGGACATTGTCGGACAGAGACTGAGACTGCAGGAGCAGCTGGCTGAGCAGACATCATGCGGGGTAGCGTGCGAGACGCACTCCGTACGCCATTCCCGAGGTTCAATCGAAGAATTCAAAGAGACGAGATCGTGGGAATCATTGGGCCAAAAGCTTGCGCTCTGCTAAGCAAAAGTTTCAGAGCCCGCATACCGGGCTGGGTGTTCCGGACTCTGGTAGCTCCTCCGGAACAAGTTGAGGATGTCTCGTGTCCACTGGGCGACAGCTGCTGCGCTGCTGTCGCGGGGCAGGCAGCACTCGGTACGCTACGCGAGGTGGGTGCGCTGCGATGTACTGTGGCTCGATGCGCGAACAAGCGAGACCCCGCAAAAGGAAGACTTAGGCCGAGGCGCAAACATGGGTGGGCACAGAGCAGTAGCAAGGGTACCGTGCGTCTATCACAGATGAGCAATTCGAATCCTGGGAAAGTTTACCTGACGCCTGAGGCTCGTGATAAGCAGCGCTCCAGGAAGACGACCGGTCATGCACGGCGTCTCGGACTTCGGAGTGGAACATCGCCGGCGAAAGCGGAGAAGATGCGGGGTAGCTTTCAAGGTCCGACACTCCAATTACTCGCTTAGCCAGCAGGCGAATACAGTGACTCTTCTAGCGAGCTGCAGCCGAATATACCGATGCTGTAGCCTCGTACTTGGGACCAAGTACCAGGCTGCTGCCAATCCTCCAACGGCAGCGGAAACCGCGAAGGTCAGATGACCGCGACGGACACGAAAATAGCAGACGATTGCTTTCCGCCATGAGGCGAGGCTCTGGCTGCAGTCTGGTATAAGTTCCTCCCTTTTCCTCCTCTATCCCACCACCTTCAATCCTCATTCCACAGTCTCTCACTCCCTCCCGCTTCTCGCTCCCTCTCCCTTTATCCATCCGCCTTTGGCCTCTGCGACTCCCCATCGCATTCACTCTGCTCTCTCCACTCCTCTGCACTCGCCATCATGCTGTCCCTCCCATTTTTACTCTGCACTGCCCTTGCCTTCGCAGCTTCTGCCTTGGCCTTGGCTGTACCTCGCGCTGTGTCGGGCTTTCCCGATCCCGTCGTAGACCCGTTCTACTCGCAGCCGAGCAACATTGCCTCCTACTCGCTCGGCCAAATCATTGACACCCGAGCAACGGTGTCGACCTTTGCTAGTCCGAGCTTGGAGAAGAGCTATCAAATCAAATTCAGAAGTCAGAACGCGCAAAAACAGCCCATTGCGGCCGTCACCACTGTGCTAGTGCCCACGAAGAAGACCCTCTCCTCATCCGGCCAAGCATCCATGCTGAGCTTCCAAAACTTTCAAGATTCTGTCACCCTCTCGTGCTCCCCAAGCTGGGCCTACGTCGCGAATTCTGGAAGCCCAGCTGCGTTGGCGGCCAACCTCGAGGCTCCCATTGTCAACGGATGGGCTCTCGACCAGGGCTATTACGTCAGTATACCGGACCATGAAGGGTAAGTTATTGTTGTGGAGAAGTTCTGACGACAGCTTCATGAAGCTTACGAGATCTGTCTTGTGATAGCCCGAGCTCTTCGTTCATCTCCGGCACCAACGCAGGTCACATCGTCCTCGACGGTATCCGCGCTGCACTCACATCAGAAGGATTGTCCACCAAGACACAGATTGGCATGTACGGCTACAGCGGCGGAGCTAATGCGGGAGTCTTCGCCTCATCCCTCGCCCCGAGCTATGCAAAAGAGCTCAACGTTGTCGGTGTCAGCCTCGGGGGTACGCCCGTGTCGCCACAAGACACCTTCTACCAGCTCAATGGTGGATTCGCTTCTGGCCTTGCTGGTGCTGGGGCTGTGGGAATTGCCTCAGCCTATCCGGATGTTCAACAGTATCTCGATACCCACATCAACGCTAAGGGTAAACCAGTCATTGCAGGACTCAAGTCTGATGGCACTTGCGTCGGCCAAGTCGTCGCTGAATACGGATTCATCAACTTCTTCGACCTGATTACACCAAATCAAGATTTCCTACTGGTTGCGCCCGCCCGCAAGGCCTTAGCAAAAGAAACGTTGCTGCAGACTCAAGCCAGCTACACGGTACCTGTGCCGAAGCATCCGAGGTTCATCTACCACGCACTGACCGATGAGCTCGTACCCTTCAATAGCTCACAGCTCTACATTCAAGAACAGTGTGCCGGAGGTGCCGACATCCGCAGCATCGTCTACCCTGTCGGAGAGCACATTACCACAGAAATCTTGGGCATCCCTTCGGCTCTTGCTTTCCTCGGCAGCGCTTTCGCTGGAACGTTAGGAAGTGTTGCCTGCGGCACTATTATACCCGATACTCCTCTTGGAAGCGCAGCTTCTGTCAAGGTGCTTGGTTCGGCAAGAGATTCTGCGTTACAGAAGGCCAAGAGCGACGGATCATGGAATCTTTGATCGCCGGCGGCCGGAGGAGTCGCGAGGTCGGGTCGAACGCCACCACCGATGCGGAAAGCAGACAAAACTAGCGAGTGGGGTTACCGCCCTCTGCTGCTTCTTGAGACGCTGCAGGCTTGATTCGAACCAGTATCTCTGTATCTGATCAGAGACTTAAGCTTCGTACTCGTCATGCGCCACCAAAGATTGTTCACAGTGCTCAGCAGGTCCTCGTTCCTCTGTGTGACTTAGCCCTTCCCTCCATTCGATGCAAGCGTACATGCGTCTCTGTGTAGAATCTCGTCCCGGCGCATCGCTAACTGTGAAGCGTTGGTGACTTCTCTCCACTTTACCTCAGAGAAGACGCTTCAAGCACCTGAACACTACAGGGACCTAGCAAGAGCAGATCATCGGGGAGGAGAAACACAGGAATCATTTAGAATTGTGGAATATCGCATTCTGGGGGCGGTAGAGCGTCGTCATTGCTAGCTCGCTGTACTGCAACGGCGGCAGCGCCCTCTTTGGCAGCTAATGCGTCCGCTTCCTCGTCTTGCCAAGCCACGACCGTGCATGAGGCAATCATCGGCAATCTGCCCGATAAGGCGGTGCTTGGTAGTGACGTAGTAATCGGGGGCGCGATTACATAAGCAGCGCCTAGCCAACGATGTGCGAATTCCGCACTCGCTCCCGCTCGCTGACCATATAACCCCCCGCCTTGTCATGGGACATTGAGCGTGCTCCTTGTTGCAGCTACAACTCTGATCCGTCGCTAGAGACTGTCTTCTTGTCGCTCGTCACATCGTCTTCCATCACTTCACCAGCGACCTTTCTTTTACTCTCTCCTCAAATCTCCGGAAGTTGCATTGCGTCAGTCTACGCCTGCCATCGTTTCGCTTGCCTTATTTTCATTGCGGAGAGCAGACGATCACATCGCATTCCGCGAAGTCGAGTTCATCCCTTCTATCTCCTTGCTCATTCTCAATATAATGCCCGCCTTTGACATCGAACTTGTGGACCTCCCCAGCAAGGGAAAGCTGGTTCCTCGTCGCGGCGGTGGTGGAGGCGGGGGCGGCAGAGGTGGAGGAAGTATCGGCGGGAGCAGCAGCGGAAGCAGCTCCAGTGGCAAGGGTGGGACTTCCTCCTCCTCGTCCTCTTCTTCCTCCTCCGGACGCTCTTCCTATGTTGGTGGTTCTTCCTTCGGGGGATCTCGCTATCCTTCTTCAAGTACAGCGAACGGCGTGGCACGCTTTGCCATCCCAGCATCTGCTGGCGCTTTTGCAGGCCGGACCGCTGGCGGTGGCACACGAGGCGACATCTATGGATCAGCTAGGTATGGCTCGGGGTATCCTGCCGGCTACGGAACAACCCGAGGGGTTTACTACGGAGGTGGGGTCGGCGGCCTCGGCTTTCCGTTCCTCTACTGGCCTGTCTTTTGGGGTGCCGGGTATGGAGCATACTATGGCTCCGACCGATACTCAAATGATACAGATAGGCCGGGTGGTGCTATGACGCTATACGTCCTGCAAGCACCAGCTAACGTGAATCAGAGCCTGAATAACTTTGGGCTCTACGGGTGAGTCAGAATGAGGGCCGCCCCCAGGACTAGCTTCATCCAACAACTGACAATCCAGATCTCTATCATCTACAGTGACTTCGACTCTGTTGACAGTGCCAGGGCCTCTCTAGTGGACGCGTGTGGCGTTGGCTCTGGTCTGGCGGCCAATTACACCGTGACGCCCAGTCAAGCTGTCCAGACCTACCGCTCGTCCTCATTCAGTCTTTTGCTAGACAGGTACGACAATTTACAACCGCAGAACGCGACCGATGACGATTCCATCGACACCCCAATCCCATCGCTGCCTGCAGACGTGGACACAACGTACTTGTCCTGCCTCAACACCACTCTCGGTCAGGACCTACTCCTACCTTCGGACGCTGAGACGAGTCTGGCATACCGCGTTGGTGGTGAGCTACAGATAACCATCGTGTTGTTACCTGCCTTGCTGCTCGCATTCATTCTCAGTCTGGTCTAGTACAGTACTGCGTGGCAGGGGGCTCGTTTCCCAGTCGAGTCATGACCGCAATGCCCACCTTCAGACAATGTCTGCTCTTGGCGATCAACTCAGAACGCAGGTCGCTTCTGAGTCTTGGACCTGGTACAGTAAACAGCCAACAACATACCCTGCCGCTCGAGATCAATCACTCGTAGCCTCATCACCTCGCCCTCGTTCCCTGCTCCCTGTCTACCAATTCCGACCTGAGCATTCTCGCTCTAGGCAAACTCGTCAAACGTCGACGCCGCGCTTTGGCGGTTAGTCAGACTCGTGCCCCACCCTCGCATTGTACATTACCAAGCTCATGATGCCAAATTGTTCACATGTCCCTCCAGGCGCTTGTAGTCCAGCGCCGTTCCCAAATGGCTGACAAGTGGAGTTGCCAGGCGAGACAATGGCAGGGTGGGGCGAGCCATTGTCTCTTGTTGTGGTGGAGATTGTGTTGGCTGCTGTGGGTCCTGTCCCTGTCTCCTGTCTCCTTTTCTTTGGTGTGATTGCGAGGGGAGGGAAAGGGCTGTTGGCTGCTGTGGGTCCT